ATTGAGTTGAAAGGAAAGAAAATATATACCTTTGTTTATATTAAAGTTTTAAAATAAAAAAATTAGATATTTGACGTGATATTTTACGAAAAAATATACTTATTACCTCCGTCCGACTCTAAGGATCTCATCTATATTTTACGTATTAATATTTAAATATTAATTATTATATCAAAACGTAGTACAAATTAAGAAAAAATTGCGAAAATACTTTTAGTAATATTTTATAATACTAATAGAAGGACATTTGTACAAAAAAAAAAATACAAATATAAGATATTTTTAATGTTAAATACAATGACGCAAAATGTAAATATGACCCTTAGAGGCGGACGGAAGAAATATATATTATGTGATCTTTATATATATATATATAAAATTACTATTTAAAATTCTAAAAAACAATCACATAAAAAATTCTTCTATGAATTATTTTTAATTTCAATATATATAATATACTTATTTTATCCGCTGCTAATATAATTATTTTGTCATTTAAGTTTCTCCAACTTCAATATATATGTTTTCGTTTTTAGTAATTATACCATCTATTTAATAAAAAAACAACTATATTTTACATAATATTATGCACAATGTCGATAAATAATATATAAATTTAAGTACAATTTATTTTTTTTATCATTCTATTATACTATTTTCCTCTGGCTTTGAGGGTCTAATTTACTTTTTGCGTGTTGATATTTGAATATTAATTATTATATCAAAATATAGTACAAATTAAGAAAAAATTACAAAAAAACTTTCATTGGTGTTATTAATAGAAGGACATTTGTAAAAAAAAATAAAATTATACAAATATAAAAATATTTTTAATATTAAATATAATTATTTAAAAAGTAAATGTGATCCTTAGAGACGCACAGAATATTATTATTTATAAAATACTAATATACTAATATTCACATTAAAAAAAAAAAACAAATAATCACATTTTAGTATATGATTGAAAAATCAATAAATAGGGTTAGAAAAACATCACCGTCTTCATTCCTTTATTTACCACATTTAATTATCTAGAGATTTTTTATTTTTTATTTTTTTAAAAAAGCTGGCTTAAATTATATGAAAACACACTCTTTTCCAGTTCTGACACCTTTATTTATTTATTTATTTATTTATTTTTTCAGGTCTGGCACTTTTTATTTTATTTTATTTTTTATTTTTATTTTTTTTCAATATATATTTGTTAAAATTCCCATATTAGCTTTTATTTCTATTTGTATTTGATTTGTGACATCTTCAACTGCCAATGCACTAACCTGAAAATAGCCAATATACATACACTTTATAGGGTGTGTTTGTTTGGAGGATTGGATTAGATTTCTATTATTTATCCTATTTTTTTTCTCCCAAAAACATCAAATCAAATACTTATTTTTTATTTTTTATATTATACTAAAAATCAATTTTACATTTAAAACATCACGTCAATACCTATTTATATCACATCATACAACTATTCAAATTCAAAATTTTTATTATTTAAATCCCAACTCAAAATCCAAATCCCCAAACAAACAATTATATTGAATAATTGTTTTCTTACAGGACTGCAATAAAATAAATAAATAAATACAGAAAACCATTAATATATCTAACAACAGATTTCATTCAATCGAATTGAAATGCATATAATATGTATATATAATTAAATACTCTCTTGCCCTTCCGTCTCATATCTATATAATCATTTGTTTTTTACATAGAAGTTTTAAAAATATTAGTATTATATTAAAATAAAGTAGAAATAAAGATAAAAAAGACTAAATTAATCTTATTAATATGGTATAATATAAAGGTAATGATATTTGTATAATATATTGTAAATTAGAAGGGTATTTATAATGTTACGTAGATAGCATAATTACTAACAAAAATAAATATTTTATTATATGATAGACCAAAATAAAAAAATAAATAAATTATTAAGCGACAGGAATTAGTAATAAATAATTTCTCTAATTGTTTAGGTTGCAATAAAGGATTAATGATGAGAGAGTCAGAACCTTGGAGAATCTGAGGCCTTCCAAATAAATGAAAACATTTTTAATTTTTATTAATTTATTTTATCATTGAAGAGTGAAAAATAAAAGCCTCTTATAAATATATTAATTTATTATTTTTATATTTTTTTTTCAAATATTATTTTAATATTTTTATTAAAATATAAATATATATCAAATAATTTGAATAAAAAAAATTAAAATGATAACGAATATAATCTAAAAATATAACTATATTCAAAATAGAATTGTAAACCTGATTTTAATCATAATGGTAAACATGTATTGAGAATAGGGTTGTAAATATGAGCAGAAACATAACTGTGTTGACAACACGGCAAAAACACCACAGTTATTTTCAGTGTAGGGTAATAAACACAGTCACATTTCTGAATCATCGAACACCGCCGTGTCAATCCAATCAGTTACCATGAGATTAAAATTAATAAATATTAATTTGAATAAAATCAAAATTGATAAAAAATAATAATAATAATAATAATAATAATAATAAAATTAAAGTTGATAATTGTGATATATAATTAGACAAAAATTATTTTTACTCTAATAATAGCTCCAAAGAAAGATTATGAGAGGACCTCTTGAATAGGAAAGTAATGTGGAGCTACAGTTGACTACGACTTTCCAATTCGGGACACGTGTCATCCATCCATACACCCTTCCTTCTTATCATCATCATAACCATAAAAAATAAAAGAACATTTAATCTTAAAAAAAGGTTGATTGCATAAAAATTAAAAATTAATCCATACTTATAATTTCTTTTTAATGTCTTTTCAACTTTGGGCATAAACAGAAACCAGCATTTGGGCCTAAATTCAGACACCACACACAATTTATTCTTCTCGATTAATGATGATATTTACAATTATTTGGATGAAATAATCAATGTAATCTAATAATATATTTCAATAAAGTCAATATAACAAAAGTTCATGCCCCATTAAAAAAAAAAAAAAAAACTACTCTGTTGCTATAGTTATAGTTACAAGTAATTGGCAAACATTTATAAATCATAAATTGACAATATAAACTATAGATTAATGTAATACACATATGAACCCGGAATATATAATAATAGTTCATACATCACATACAACATTGAACTTTAACACGGGCCGGCCCGGCAGCTTGGAAGGAAATCGAACTCATAATCAAGAGTAGAACTGGCAATGGGTCGATTTGTGTCGAGTTCGAGTCGGGTTGAATATTTTAAACGGATTAAATTACTCAACCCTAACCCGACTCGTTTATGATCGTGTCGTATTTGTGTTGACCCATTTATTATCGTGTCGAGTTAACTCGTGTTGACCCGTTTATTATCGTGTCGGGTTCAAGTTGACTCGTGTTAACCCGTATATATAATTAAGTCGAATTTCTTGATTCAAATTAAATAATTTTTTGTTATGTTGTCGTGTTATGTTTGTTTTTTTTTTTTAGAGTAAATTTAGTTGAATTATTTCAAATTGAACTAAGTTTAATTTATGAGAAAATTATTAAATTAAGATTATTTTACATATATAATACATATATTAATCAATATTAATATATTATAACCAGGTTGTCTTGTCGGGTTCGAGTTGAGAGCCTCAACCCTAACCCGACCCGTTTACTATCGTGTCGGGTTTGTTTCAATCCATATACATAATCGGGTTGAAATCTTTCATCGAGCACCATTCCTTTGAGATAGAAAGGTCACTTCTGGTCTCTTCATTTAATAAATAGATAGACTCTTCCCCTCTGCTATGGTGCTTGGTCATTGTGCCAGTCTCGATTCTATATTTGACTCAAACCCAATTATTTCGTATCGAATTGTCGTATCAAGTCAGTTTTTGCCAGCTCTAACCAAGAATAGATAGAACATCAACTTTGTCTTATTTTTTATTATTATTTCATTAATTAATATACATATGAAAATATAAAATTTCAAATATATTAATTTTAATAAATCGGACTGAATCGGACACAGACTAACAAAATTTTAGATTAATTTTTGAAAGTCCAATCATGATTTATTCGTGTCAGGTTCAGATCCAATTTTCAAATTGTATCTATTTCTTGCTAGCTCTTTACACACCATATAAAATACGAGTTGATCATATAATTTTATTTAACACAATATCTTATGTATTAGCTATGACTATATGCTATCCGTTATTTCTATGGACTAAAATCTTTAGAATGGTGGTTAGATCCAATCAGCATGATACCGCTAAAAAAAATTTATTTTATAATAATTATTATTATTAATTTGTAGTCCAAATATTTATTGAGTTATTGGGGGAATATTATTAGGAAGAAGCAGTCCGATAATATTTGCTAAAATTAGGGGAAATATCAAATCAATCTTATCTTTGTCGAGTGTCGACTCTGTACCCCAAACACGTCCAATCTCATCTATCAACCCTTTTTTTGGTTCTGATTTTCCAGTTGTCAGTTTTATTTTACTGTTTATTTGTAACCAGATATTCACCTAATATGTAAATTATTCTCCCACTCCCATTTCAATATTCTTTAATAAATATTCAATTCATGCGTCTTAATTCAAACTATATTTTTTTACTATTTTTAAAAAAACCATAATACCAAAATATTTTTTAATTTTTATTTAAATTATAAATACATATACAAAAACCATGATACCAAAATATTTTTTAATTTTTATTTAAATTATAAATATATATGTAATGAAAAGAAAAAAACTCCCGACGCGTGGTGATGTAGGAGTAGAACTTGTGACCGTAAAGTCATGGGTTCAAACTCACCCGCGACGCCTCAAGTCACCTGCCACACATGGTTCACCTAGTCGTTTGCAAAGTATTAAGTTCAGCTAATTAAATAAAAAAATTATAAATTATAAATTTTAAAACGCGAAATAAAATGAATAATTATATTTGGGGACAGTGTGAGATAGAGAGGGAAAAGTACAATTATCAAAATGAGAAGATGGATAAATAGAGCCCAAACAATGTATTTCCTCCTACGGAACATTTCTTCCGAGAAATTTCAAATTTAATTCACATTACATTCAGTCGATTTTTATCTGATTAACATGTATTGTACCACATATTTCATCAATGCATATCAACTAGGAACATAACGAAAGAATAAACACGACGAAATCCGACGATCTCGGCGACAGCCGGTCGCCGCAGACAAGCAAATAATATGCAGGCAGAATGTACGGAGCATCACAACAACGAAAGGCAGACGAGGACTTACAGAGGAAACACGGCTCGCGCTGCAGAGTAATCCTCCGAGCCCCAACATCCTGCTGAAAATTAAAACATTTCAAAATCTCGATTACACCAATACCAAAGAACATAATGAGATACGTCGAGCATGCATAAGTCTCCCATAATCGTGTAGAAAAAAGATTGATAACAATGTTGGCGCTTACCGTACCAAAATGTGAAGCAGCATATCTCCGTAGCCTCTCGGGCCTGCACAGGATAGACGAGAGTCAAAATGGGAAATCGTAAGCTATGTTAAATATGTCGCGCACCTCATAAGAGAATTCGAATATTCAGGATAAGTAATGCCGGATTAGTCACTATAAAGTATAAATGCGGCAATGTCGTGCAGGCCAGCCTCCCGGTAACATTCTGCGATTCTATGAATGTGTTCATCCCATGTCCCGTCAATTGAAGCTAAGTCGAGCAGAAAGGCAGCTTCATCCAATGCAACCTGCGAGCATACGCACGTATACGTTGACCTAAATGTTATATCGATTGCGTGGAAAGAGGGAATAGTGATTCAGTATAAGCAATGGGGCTCGAAACCTGAGCTGGATCTTTCCCCTTTTTCAAATCTTGTTGCTTGCCCTCGTCGGTTACTTTCTCTTTTATGTATTCGATTTGCTCGTCCTCCCATTGAGCTATTTTCGCAACTTCCTAATGGGAATGCCGAAAAAACAAGGGTAAACTTTTTCTTTTTTTTTTTCCGCAATTAAACGCCTTTATTATTCTAGTCTTGTAGCTTCAGTATGTCGCAAATTAATCCCTTAAGTGAAAATTTTTCGCACTTTTAATCCTCTGGGGCCGGAGATGTCTATATGGCACCGGCGAGGCTCGTTCGAGTACACGTGTTCACCAACGACACTGGACAGACGCGTGGATTTTTAATTTTTTAATTTATTTATTGTCTTTTTTTGTAAAAATTTTGAATTAAATTTTTTTAAAAAATAAAAATTCACGTGTCAACCAAGTATCGCTACTTAGCAGACGCGTGTCCTCCGGCGAGCCACATTGGTGACATGTAGATATCTCCGGCGCCGGACGACTAAAATTGAAAAAAAAATTTCACTTACAGAACTAATTTGCGTCATACTCCAATTACGAGACTAAAATGACAAAGAGATTCAAGCTGCACATGTACAACGTAATGATTATTTCAATAGCCGGCTAAACAATGGATACCTGATATTCGCAGCCGAGCGTCCACCACGGAGATTTCAGAGCCCCCCGTGCAGCATCTTTAGCTTCTAAGATTCGTCCAACTCTATGTGAATGAATAAATCGGGTGAATTGAAGGATGGAAAGAATGTAATATGTTGTAATAAAAGGAACAGAGATACAGACTTCAGCAGAATTTCTGCATTGAAGACAAAGGGGCGCCCGAATCCCGGAAAGTGCTCCTTTTTAGTGTAGAATTCCCCGGTCACCAACGCTGATACCTTTATACCAACACATAGATGTCACCGGAAGATAATAGAAGCTGCTTATAAAAATGATGATATGAAAAAGTGTCGTACGTGATCGCCTTTGTCAAAATGCTGCTTAACTTTGCGTTCGAGTATGTCTGGAAACAGACCTATCTGAAAGGCAACTGATAAGTTGTTAATTGAGGTAAAATCGACAGAGGGCTGTGTAGCTTTGCGCTACCTTCTTTAAAACATAGGCCTCAAAGCTCGAAATATGGGATGCAGCAAAATCGCCCTTCTTGTAAAATTTGTTTCGTGCAACTGCTGAAGTATCGAACAGCTCGTCATATCTTTCTTCAAAGCCCTTGACATCTTCTTCCACCAGAATTCGGTTGATGAATTGCTCGACCTGTTTTGGGGCAGAATAGCAAGATGAACATTACATAACGATAACTTTGTATGTATTTGATGTATCGATTACTCACATTCTTTGCCAAAAGCCAAACGCCGTATTTCCGAACCTCCACCACTGGCATCTCCATCCTGTGTACAATGGTGAAAGGAGGAAATAAGAAGACAGTAAATTTCAATCCAATTTCCTTGTTAAGAAGCTCGATTACCCGGCTGGAGCAGTTGGCCATCGTAACAATGCAGTTATTGAACCTATTGAATGGAAAACAGAAGCCGGAATTACAGAAAGTCACTCCCACCATTTATCTTACAACTGCAAACTCTTAGGCTCGTCTACAAAACAAACAAACCTGTACTGGTTTTGGACAAAGGAACAACAAGTGGAATCAAGCCTTTCTTCGCCCCGGGCGAAATGAGTTCTTCACCTGCTACAATGGCAAGAATTAATGGTGCATTTGGTACAGGAATTGCAGAAAAAGAAAATTAATACTAGAGAATAAAATTGAAGAGAAAAAAAATCATCAATAATGAGAATTGATTCGTATATTTAGTATAACATAGAATTAAGCAGCGATACGGAGAAAACAATTTATTGCGAATGCAGAAAGAAGATAATGCATTGAAAAACAAAGAGACGATTCATCGAGTAAAAGAGAGTTTATAGTGAAATGGAAGGTCCATGGAATCCATTTCTTTGCATTTGGAAGAGAAATGAAAACATAGATTGAGCATATTTGAATTATCTTATCTAAACGAACATGAAAAATGAGGATATTTTCATTTACCTATCCCCATTGCTATATACAGAACATACCCTAAGAAATTTGTTCTTCGCCACATGGATGAAAAATTCATCTCTGAAAACCACATTTTACAATGCCAACAGAGGAAGAGACATGATCACCAATCTCTTCACGTTCTAACAGAAACTGATCATACCTCAGAATTATTCAATCCAATCAACCAAAGTGCATTGCTAGTAAAGCGTGATTTCATCTCCAACCATTGCAATTAACGATATAATCATTCACTAAAGCAGGTAGCTAGCCTACGCAACAGCGTCACATTCATACCTCTCAACTGCAGAATTCTCAGAAGATGATTCAAATGCGCCGGCGGCGGTGTCGCAGCCACATCCTTTATAAACGACGAATGGTCTGTAGCACACGACCGCACTTATTTCAGCTTAAACGAGCATACCATAGCATACATAATCGAGAAGCGCCGAATACATACCTGAAGAAGAAGACACAGAGTAGCATCGAGAAGGACGACGACGACCAACTAGACCCGACGGAATCGCGGCGGCGCGTGGAACTCCGAACAACACTCCACCGCCCGCCCTCATATCCGTTGCGAAATCCGAGTTGTGGATTGAGGCACAGATGCGAATTGGGAGGAGGAGATTGGATTGTGGGCCGATATCCTGCGGCCCGAATTAGTGTTAGGGTTGGGCCTCTAACCTTTCAAATATACACAAATAAGGAAAAAAACATATAATAAATTATGTTCTTCATGTCACACTTTCTTAATCTATAGTTATTTATATTATATTATACTACGTTTTTATTATCTCATTTATTTTTTGTTTGTTAATCGAAAAAAATATATAAATATAAAAATATTTTTAATATTAATACAATGATGCAAAAGACAAATGTGACCTTAGAGATAAATCGAGACAGTAATTAATTTTATTAATCATATCGTTGAAGTAATGTTTTTATCAATGAAAATGTTACGACAACGTAAATGACTGTCTCTGTTGAGTCATTAGGAATGCATAACATTTATATATTTAGTCTATAAACGAAGCTAACTAACATACTTCTCGTCAACAAACTTCCTCACATGCAAAAGAATATATTATATAATACGAAATTTGTATAGAAACGACAATAAACGAGGATAGTGAGACTCGGATACGAATACGAGATCTATAATACTATATCATATTAGACGATTATTTATTTATGTACATGGAACACATACGGATTAGATAAAGTTAGATGAATATGGTTTAAAATATGTAATTGTATTTGCTTTTAGTCACTTTTCTTAATAATTCAATATGATCATATTGTCTTGAATATTGTGATGGTGTTGAGTCCATATTAGATACTATAATTATATTTAATTTGAATACAATTAATATTGATAAAAAAAATAATTATTGAATTTATCAAAAATTATTATTACATCTATTTATAATTTATTTTTTTTTGCAATTTATTATTTATATTCTAATAAATACTTCATTCGTTCATGAATTGTGTGGTCATCTGAACAAACTCGAATTTTAATGAATATAATATTATATTTGTCAATTATGATATATAAATATAGAATAAAAATATTTTAAAAAATATATAAGTGAGCTAATATTGTGAGAAAATATTTTTATAAATTGAATATGTCAAAAAAAAATAGAGGTAAAAATATTTGTAAATAAATATAATATTCCATCCGTCCAATACAATACTCTTTCGTTATTATTACATAATTGTTACTACCTTTTATACTAATATATTCACAAGGCAAAAACGTCTTTTATCTATATTTTTACTCACTATAAATATAATATCAATATTCCCTAAATCTCGTGTCCAACGCAGTTGTAAAACTGAAGAAGCATCAAATAGTATATATAAGAAAAAGTGAAACACGTGTGCACACACGACATATCAATAATGTAAATTTTAAAGTTAACATACTTCATCTATACAATGCTTGCAAAATAGACAATGGAATTTGATGCAATATTATAAAAAACATAAGAAATGTCACACAATTTTTAAATCACAAAATAAAATTTATCGGAATTTTTTAACTACTAGTAGATTCTGAAAAATTTCAATATAAAAAAATATTTAAGGGTTACTCCATATAAATAGAAAAGAATCAATTTACAAGTATTAGTTTTTTGTGCAGAATAATTTGACACAAAAATAATAGAAAACAATCAATTCACTAGTATATAATAATAATAATAATAATAATAATAATAATTTCCCATAAATTAATCGACGCGGTAAAGGCTGAAGATATGAGTTTTTAGTCTTCTGAGGCTGGAAGAAGTTGTCGTAATCTGTAGTAACGTCCGAGAATCGATTGCAAGTTCTTCTGACTCTTCGTCAGTACATATAAAACGGAGGGAGGAAGGGAGCGATTGCAAAGTGCTGAAAAGCGTCCCTGACTTGGCCGGTCCCTCCATACCCGCGCGCCACATCCTCAATCCATTCTTAGGGTTTTCAAATTCCAACCGCCAAACAAAACAATCACTCCTTGTACCCTTTGCATGACTCGGATCTGTAATCGTAGCTCCATTGCCCGATTCAGCGCTGCCACGCTCCACCACCGGCAATGTCGCCGCCAAAAGCGTCCACCTCCGCCTCCGGATCCAACCCTACGGTAATTGCTCCAATCGTCGTATGTTTTCGTGCAACTGTTGGATAGGCGTTTTCGTTTGAGTGCGGATGGAGTTTTCTGTACTCGATTGATATTTGCGTGTTGTATTTGTGATGAGAATTGTATCAGAATGTACATTGTGCTTTCTGCATTGCCGAGATTGAGTTTGTCGTCGTGTCTGTGATTTGAATAAAGGTGAATTTTTAATTCTGGTAGTTAGATGGTGTCTGGATTGTGGTTTTGGTGTTTTTCTACCTCTGTATAGTGAATATATACAAAATAATCTGAAATCTTTAAAATTCAATCGTTGTTGAATTATTATGTTTATCTAAACTTAGTTTCTACTCATTTACATAGACACGTGGCTTTTCGAAGACTCCACACCGTTTGTTTAGGAGATAGGTTGGCTTAAACTGTATACAAGGCATAGTTGTGAATGGCTCGAGGGGTAGGCTGGGGCAGCCTCAGCACCACTTACAGAGGCACAGAGGTAACTCCTTGTGTGCCTCTTCTATTTTCATTTTCGTATTAGTATTTATTTCTAAATATACATTTTGATTTGAAGGATCTCTAAAATATTTTCCTAAGAATTTTTGCCTGGTTCTCATTCTTTAATCTTGACATCATCTAAATGTACAAATAGTATTGCAGTAAATCTGCTAGTTTGTGGACTTGTGTTACTTTGCTAGTATGATTGTTCTATCGTTCTTCTTCATCCTTTGGATTTAAATGGCAGGATGATTGGAGCAATTGTTAAGAGTATTATAATATACATGTAAATATGCATATGCATATATATTTTAATATCATAAGTAGGTGCCATGCTTCAATATAGCAAGTGTTGTATGCGAACTATGTGCGCTGTGGCTCCATAAAATATTTGTGCCACAGTGCTCCACATTCCACTTGAATCTGTGATGCTATGGTGATGCGGCCACTAAAATCGTATTGAATTAGTCTACAATATAGTGGTGCTACACTTGCAGTGCGCAGTCGCGCTACCAGAGAGTGCATATGGTATTTGGAGACAAGTCAGCTAGCGTTGTGGGTGGATGATTGGCCAAGCAAGAAAGACCGCATCTATGTGTTTTCTGTGATGTGGGTCCCATGTTTTGCATGAGTGTATACGTGGAATGAGTAGCTCGCTCGCCCCATACACTTGTCACATATGAGAAAAGGAAAAAAACGTATTATACTAGTATATAAGGCGAGTAGCCTTCGCTCAGATTGCTGGTGTTTTTTAGGGCTTAAAGGTGAGTACTTGAGGGGTTGCCGCTAAGAGGCACTCTATCTTACCCCCTCGTATTCTCCGCCTTGTTGATCCATTTCCAGGGTTTTGAGGTCCGAATCGCCAAAACAGATATAGGGGTCTCTTTTACATGATTTGGATCTGTTATTGTAGCACCATTTGTGGATCTAGCAATATATTGCCTTATCAGGTCATCGGTAATGTCGACAAGCAAGCACTCTGGGTCTGGAACTTCTCCTTTTGTTCTGAGTCTTGTACCCCACTTTTCTACGGTACTTCTTCATTGTGATTGTTGGAAAGTTAAATGTCTTGTGTATAAATTTCTTTGTTAATCTCTATGGAGTTTATTTTGTTGAATCAGCCTGTATGCTACTTTGTAGTGATGGTAATTGCGCCGATGCAGATCTGTTGTGATGTGTTTTCACTTCACTTGAACTTATATATGTGCCGATCTATTTCATTTTTACTCTACAGCAGCTTATCTCGTGGCAGATCTGATACGCTAATCTCTGCGCATATCTGTTGTGTTTCTACATTAAACTCCTTGGTGCAGATCTGCAGCGTTTTTACTTTAGTGAAACTTATCATCGCGCAGATCCGCTGCGCTCTTACATCGTACAACTTATCACTATGCAGATCTGTTGTGCAGATTGAGCTTGCCTTATTTATTCGTTAAATTAATTTGAATTGGATTCTTGGTAGTTAATGGTTGTATGTTTATGTGCGCTTATGGATGGTGTTTTGTTTGGCTTTTCGGTGATTTTCATACAAGTGGTTTTACAAATATTCAAAATTTGGCAATTGCCTTATTTTCTTCAAAATTCCACAAGTATATACAATTTAATTTATTTATTTTGAATTTTTAGTAATTATGAAATTATTGAAACAATTACACCAAATCCACACCCTAAAAAGTTTCTACTTACTATTGAGGCTTTGTAAATTTTCGCTTTTGTCTTTGAGGATGTATTTTGTGATAATGATGCACTATTAGGGAAATTTTATCTGATTAAGATATGGCATTTGCTACTTGAATGATATATCAAATGTTGAAGTTATGAGGAAGGATGGTTTGAATTTGTAATATACTTGTTTTCATCTTATTTTACATTATGTAGTTGTTGTTTATCCAGCTATAAGCAACAAAAGCTTGAATCTGAATCTTATCTTGATTGCATATGTTAGAATAACTTTTTCCTTTTTCCAGGTTTTTAATCCAACTAAGCTAGATTAACTCATAATTACTTCCTTGTTCATTATAACTCCTTGTTGAATTTTTGCTAATGTAATCAGGTTGCTTTGAACCATGGGGATGGTCCTTCGGTGGAGGAAGCTTCCGCCCTGGTTAAATCTTTGAAGAAGCAAGTTAAATCTGATCGCATGAACCATATAAGTGTACATTTTCTGTCTATACATAATCTTTAGTAAATGATGTATTTTGCATTAGTTATATTTCCAATGTTTTATTATTCTTATTTGGCCTTTCAGAGACGGATGAAAGAAAATTCTGAGAAAGTACTTGATGTTACAAGAAATTTTTATAAGCTATCAATGGAGAGAAAAAATCTTAAAATTAATTGTGATGATGGAACCATGGATTTACTTGCAAAGAGACAAAATGATGCATTTGATTTGCATGATGATCTTGAGACAAGCAATGGTGATGATGAAAGCAGTAGCTCGGATGAAGATGGACACCCCGCTTCAGCAGTACTTTTGGGATTGACTCTTACGGTCAAGAATGCTGTCTGTCCGATTATGCTGCCAGAGGTTAAAAGGTTGCCACCATACACTACATGGATCTTTTTGGATAGGTGAGTAATATATTAAACACACATTACAGAAAAAGTGCATGTTATTCATATTTTGCAGTCCACACAGATAACACTCTTTTAAAGTCGAATTATTCACTTACAATAAAAATTCTGATGGTTTCAGACTTTAATGTTGCATAAACTGCTATATTGGAATTCTGTTTTATGACAACAATTATCCTAAGTGGTAATAGCCATAGAAATGTCAGACTGGGTTCCATAGAGTTTCTGGATTTTAATAATAGCTTCAAGAAAGCACCAAAATAATTTCAAGCCTTGTTATCTAATTCGGTTAATCCCTTCTTCTCATCTGGTTATTTGAATCAAATTGAGATACTTTGGCAGGGAGCTGATTCAACGCAGTCTGGTGTATTTTAGTCTGCATATTTTTCTAAGACATTCTTGATATCTAATTTGGTTAATTCTTAGTCCACATGTTCTTTTTGGTGATTGTGTTTTTCTTTTCATTCCAGTCATAATATGATTTTATCTTTCATATACATATTAGTTTTAGTTAGATAAATTTTATTTTTTTAGTTTGAAACACAGAGCTTCTGTTCTTTGGGGAATTCTAGAAGACTAAATCTGTATTGAAGGGCTTGCGCAGTAACTGAGGAAGCATACATAAACTAAAGCTGATATGTGCTGATTGAATGCGTAGAAAGTTGGATTTGCTAAGCAAATTGGACATGGGGATATATTGTTCAGTCTTGCAGCATTCTATCTACACTGTCTTCTGCTCAATAAATTGATATCCCTGAATTTTGCCTACCACCTTCATTTTGGAATTCCTCGTTTGTTCTTTACTTCATTTAGATTTATTAGTAAGCATTGGTGGATTGCTCCAAAATAACTCTGTTATTCTACTTCAGCTTCAATGCAGATTTTCATAGATTAACAATTCTTTTTCCATGATTCCTTTTTTCTTTGTTTGTGGCTTTTTGCATCTTGGAGTTCATGCTCACTTGTTGTTTAAACCTTCTCACTGTTATCAATTAATTTTTTGGTGGGTTGATATTATATTTTTGTGTTCACAGAAACCAGAGAATGACAGAGGATCAGTCAGTGCTTGGCAGAAGGCAAATTTATTATGACCAGGATGGGGGTGAAACTCTAATTTCCAGCGATAGTGAGGACGAGACAGGTGAAGAAGAAGAAGAGAAGAAAGAATTTGCAGAAACGGAAGATTATATTCTGCGGTTTGTATATTTGACAGTTTGTAATCTCATTTGGCGTTTTGACTATTTCTATTTTAGCATGAAAGTGAATTGTTTCAGGAAGTGAGCTTTGTATGTTTAGTTGCATTAATACATGTCTTGTTTAATTTTCTCTGCTGAGTTTCTATACATCCAGACATGAAAGTAATTAGAATTCTTGGGCATATAGTAGTTTAATATGTTGCTATTCTACGCAGTTTTAAGACTGAAGCAAGTTCTTGTTTCACTGATTTATTTATTTCAGGCATGTTGAGATTGTGGAACTAATATGGTTCTTTTTGTGCGTCTGTATAACTCATTAGGACAACCATAAAAGCAATGGGTCTCTATGATCTGACACTGGGTTTGTTGAGCAAGTGCTTCTCTAGATCCCCTTCTGAAATCAGGGTATGTAATCGAACTTCTTATTACTGATTGCATACTGTGTTGGTAATTTGTTTTTAGGCATGCTTTGTTATTATATGAAAGAAAAAGGTGGGAAAAAAGAACTGATCACCATGTGAATTTAGTCCACGTATTTCCCATTGTCTGTTGTCTATACAGAGATAAACCACCGTAGAACATCTTATACAGGCAAGATATGAAGATCTGATCAAGAAAGACAATGCTATTTGTCACATGGACACTGGAAATGCAGAAGGATCCGAGAATCCTTATCTTGATAAAGATCTTGATGCTGCTCTGGACTCATTTGACAATCTCTTCTGTCGCCGTTGTCTAGTAAGCATGAGCTATCATTTGTTTTCCCATCAGAAACCAACCATTTGATTCTATCATTCTATCCCTTATAATTATTTCTAATTCTAATTTAACACCTTTACGAGGCAGGTTTTTGACTGTAGACTACATGGGTGTTCCCAGGACCTTATCTTCCCTGTAAGTTGATTTAAGGTAGCATAAGATGGAATTTGTTATCTGCAGTTAATGCGTTCTTATGACACGCTTATTCCTCTTTAAGGCTGAAAAACAGTTGGAATGGTCCAGTCCAGATGCGGAGAAGGAGCCATGCGGCCCAAATTGTCATCGAATGGTAGATTGTGTTTACTAATGCTTTGTTAAATTTATAATAATTGCGCAGATAATATATCCCATTGGACCTAAGTAGGAACATGCTGTGATTACCAAATGCTCGAGCAGATTATTCCGCTCGCTTAATTCATTGTGTTATCTTGGTTGCTTGTATCGGTATTCTCTTGTAATATATACATCTGAACAGCTTCAGGTCCTTGAGTCAGGTGGCAATGCTACCATGACCTCCCAACAGACAAATCTAGAAGAAAAAGCTGCACCTGGTCAAATGCAAAGGCGGGAGCTAGTAGGTGTATCTTTCAGGCATAATCCAAGTGAAATTGCTTCTTCCTCAGAGATCAGACTGATTGATGATGTCACTTCATCGGAGAAAAATACATCTGTTGGGAAAAGCGGTGGTGAGAAAAGGAGTAGCAAGAGAGTAGCTGAGAATGTTTTGGCTGGAAAGAATAAGATGCAGAAAAAAAGTACAATGTCGGATTCTGATTCTGTTGCCGGTAGCGGTCTCAGTTCTAAAGATATGTACACTCAGGGTAGTTCACTTCTGCAAAATGTTGATATGAGTTCTCAGAATGCTACTTCTAAAGGTTCTACAAAATCCCAAGGGAAGGAGGCTCCTCTTCTGGATTCTGATAAATCTTTGCAGGTGGAGAGTGCCAGTGTGGCGCTAAATGAGACTGCAATGAACCAACCACTTGCCAGCAGCAATGACACCTTAAAGAAAGACGAGGTTGCCGATGAAACTTTGGTGAAACAGGAAGTGGTTGACAACACGAGTTGGAAACCACTTGAAAAAGCACTGTACGAGAAGGGCATTCAGATTTTTGGTCGCAATAGGTAAAGTCATTTTTTGTTTTGCTTGATTTTTACCATTGTTACCTCCATATTTGCATTATGTTTAGTAGCCACAAAAGAGAGAAGAAAGATTTCTGTTTATCAATCATGAGGGAAAATAGGGAAAATCTCACTATACACGATGTGGATGATATGCTTACAGTTTACATGCTGACGCCTTGACAACATTTCCTATAAGGAGTGCCGCGTGTGCATGTAATGTGTGCAGAATCTAAGGGTTCCATGAAGAACCTGTGTGTATGTTAAAGTTTCATATTCTTTTGTTGAGTCTGCTCGCTTTTAGGTTTAAATCCCCAGTAGACAGTGGAAAAACAAGAGAATAGAAATTTAAGCTTTACCAAGCCTGCAAATGCATGACACTCTGAGTTTATAATCTGGCTTTTCTTAATTTCCACTAACGTCAATGCAATGCTCTGAGTATGAACTCTTTGTCATCCAGCTGTTTGATTGCAAGGAATCTTCTGAGTGGGTTGAAAAGCTGTTCTGAAGTGTTCAAATACATGCATCAATCTGAGAAGATGTCTCTAGATGGTGATGGAATGACACTTTCTAATGACTGTTCCAAGGCTGATGGTAATGAAATTGTGGTAAGCCCTCATTCTTCAACTTTCAGGTTTATTTATATCACAAAGATTAGATTTTTATGTGTTCGTCTTTTACAAAAAATAGGCTGGTGGTCCAAGAAGAAGATCCAAATTTCTACGGCGGCGAAAGGGAAGAGCTCGCCGCCTGAAGTACACATGGAAATCTGCAGGATACCAGTCGTATAGGAAGCGAATTTCTGAAAAGAGGGACCAGCCTTATCCGCACTACACTCCGTGTAGATGCCAATCGGCTTGTGGTAAAACATGCCCATGTCATGTTAATCGTACCTGCTGCGAAAAATACTGTGGGTGAGCCCTGTTACTCATTTGGGTTTTTCTCTCATTTTCTTTTTTATGCCTGTTTGCAATGTTTTGGAGTTCACAAGCACAATTTCCCACTGAATAATCATATTATCTCTGGCAGTTGTTCAAAAAATTGCAAGAATCGATTCAGAGGCTGCCATTGTGCCAAGAGTCAATGTAGGAGTCGTCAATGCCCATGCTTTGCAGCTAATAGGGAGTGTGATCCAGATATCTGCCGCAATTGCTGGTTAAGGTGAGCCATTGAATTTGACAGACTAGATTTATTTAAATGATGATAAAAAGTGCAAACGGCCTTTGCTTTTCTTATAGGGAAGCCTCTTCCTTTGGTATCCATTTACTCACCTCAATGAACTTCTCAATAGATTAGCCATAACGATAGTTAGTAAAAGAGTATCCCCTCATCGTTGTTGAAAGAAATCAAGGTTCAGTGAAAACGTGTTCCTTTTCGGTTTTCACTATCCTTCTAGGGACAGCATATGTTTGGGCATGGATAAACTGCTAGTGAACTCGGTTAATTTTGCATGTGGTTTGAATGAGTGCCATCTAGCTTGAGATGCATTTAGCAACACCCAATTGCTTTTTGGCTTAAGGTAGTGTATATGAAAATCCTAAGGTCTTCGATTTGATCAATCTTAACATGACATAGGTAAGAAGACACCATTTATATAGCAAGAAAATATACTAAAAATAAGAGGCACGGTTACGGTGCTGATGTGAAAAAATCACATTACGTGCACTAAGCTATTTAGCGTTTAAGAAGATTCATCGGTATTAGTTTTCTTTATCATTGTAGAAACTCGAGAAATACATTAATAGGAGTAGTAAAGTACTTTTCACTGGCTTGATTGCATGCCATTCATCGTGTATTATATTTCTGTAAAATTTCGAACGGTAGTTTCTCTGGATGGCTGTAGTTTTTCATCTTTGTAATTAGTCATACTGTTTGATTTCGCTTGGCAGCTGTGGCGATGGCAGCCTTGGGGTGCCTTCTCAAAGAGGGGATAACTATGAATGCCGGAATATGAAGCTTCTGCTAAAACAACAACAAAGGGTAATTACATCTGCATATTTTCATTTCTTTCAATGTTCTGTAAAATGTTGTGTTTCAATGAATCCCAATTTTGCATATTTCTTTTCATTAAAATCTTCTTGTTTGTCTGATGATTTGTCATGAATGAACATTGAACTCCCGTGATAACAATTGCGAGCCCCTTTATAGATTTTGCTGGGAAGATCTGATATTTCGGGTTGGGGGGCTTTTCTGAAGGTAATATCACACCATGTCTTTTCTACTTCGGTATTTGCTCGAATTGAACTCATTCATGTATAAACTACAGAATAGCGTCAGCAAGCACGAATTCCTTGGAGAGTACACCGGAGAGGTAGTTTCACACCATGAAGCTGACAAACGTGGAAAGATCTATGATCGCATAAATTGTTCGTATCTTTTCAACCTCAACAATCAGGTATGATCTATCCTCCATGTTTAAGCTCCAAAGCGATTTTCAGCAACTCCATTTCTCATAAATAATTGTTCTTTTCTCCGTGATCAGTTTGTGCTCGATGCTCATCGAAGGGGCGACAAACTGAAGTTCGCCAACCATTCTCTAGAGCCAAACTGCTATGCTAGGGTAAACTAATCAACGATGAAATGATACCAGCAGTTGCGCTTCCCCATTTGCCGTCTTGGCTTTTACTGACAGGATTTCTTGGCAGGTGTTCATGGTGGCTGGAGACCACAGGGTCGCGATATTCGCCAAGGACCGAATTGCTGCAGGGGAAGAACTGTTTTACGATTATCGCTATGAACCGGACAGATGTCCAGACTGGGCTAGAAAACTGGAAGCATCCGGCAGCTCCAAGAAAGACACCAGCGCCCCTTCAAGAGGTCGTGCTAAGAAACACATTTAACCGGACAACTGAAGTTCGATTATGTCTTCCTTTCCTGACAGAAAGAAACATCGCCCCAGAGCAAACTTATACTCCTTTAGTCGAGTGACTTGAACTACCGTTTTTCTCTCTTTGACTTCGAACAATTTCTAAGAAATGCATTCATTCAATTTGAGTCCCAAGACTTGTCTGTCGATTCTTGTGATTGTTTCTACTCTTCACCATGGCTATAGCTGCAGCTGCAGAGACAGAGCTATGGTAAGGATTCCATGCGCCTGCCTGCCTTCCGGAAGCTTCTCCGGATCTGTTGTGTTACTGCTCAATAGTACTGTTGGTAAATAAGCTCTCCCTTTATTATTACATCAATGAGGTTACTTGAATTTATGTACAATGCGTTTATCGACAAAGTGAAGGATGAACAAGCGATCAACCTGCTTACAGTTTGCTCGGAGAGCGCTGTGAATGGACCTTTGATAGTTTACAGTATTCCTTTGGGGTGTATTTGAAGAGACGGACTGACCGTGCGCAGACTAACAAAGCAATCCCGCGGAATCCTCATTCCCCACACATTGATGGACTTGAGCTCGAGGCATTTGCTTACAAGAACGCGAAGGCCTTCGGCAGTGACGTGGCGACAACCCCACAGGATCACAGACTGAATGACAATCAAATCATCACAGATCACAGAGCAATCTACACAACACACTTATATATATGTATATTTGATTCAATTTTGACCTTCAGATAAGGGCAGCTATCTGCAATGGCAAACAGCGAAACATCCGTGATGAACGTGCCGCCAATGTTCAAATGTTGCAGCGAACCAGCCTGCGAAATCTGCCGGATCAAAACAGAGGTGTCAAGAACACAAAAGCTCCAATGTAGAAGAAGGTAAACAATTCCGGCATACCAGATGAACAACTCCAATGTCAGTAATCGCTGTCGATCCCCACATGGAGACAGTCGACAGATTGCCGATGCATTTCGCCGTCGACAGCTGCTTCAGCCCTTGATCGGTAATCTGGCAGCCCCAACGGCTTCTTGATCTGCAATTTCATTTCACTTCATTATAAATACAGAGTAACCTAATACTGTGAATGTAAATTCACAGGGCTACAGAATTAGATAAACTACATGTCGAGCTCTTTCAGGCCATAAGCTAAACCAACGAGACGCGTGGTGGTCTCGTCGTCCATCTTCCAGCCGGAAAAGCTCAGAGTCTCCCGCCGAGCCAACGACTCCTTCACCCCCTGCCTCCATTTCCGGCACACACTGCTCGACCTGCAAGTAAGTATTCCACCATTTCTCAAACTTATCGAACTCGAAACCCTAAATTCACAAAAAATAAAATAAAATTGTGAACTGACTGAGCCATGTCTTTGAAGGAAGCGAAGAGGGAGAATATGTGCGCCAGGAGATCAATAGGCAAGCGATCAATTTCTGCTTCTTCTTCTTCTATTTGCCCCATTCGAAACACGGAATCAATTAGGTTTCGAAAATTGGGGAAATTGGAAGCGAAGATGCAGGAAGCTGGGGGCAGCTTCAAATGGATAAAAAATAGTATCTCGCAGCTGGAGATTCAGTATCAGTTGTGAATTGTGATCGTCGACCAGAATCCTGTGAAGTGCTTCTGGCACAATTATTGAAATCCTACACAGAATCTTCTCCAATCTTCATGGATGGAATTTTAGGTCGGTCCCCCAGGGATTCCCATTTCCAGACGTTTCAAAATTGTCACAAGAATTTATTTACGTCGTAGTTTCGTTTAATGTGCCGACTTTTCTATGAACAAATGATTCTTTGGGAGCTCCCGGGCTCCCAACTCCTCATGGGCTTAATTTATTTTCTGGTGCAGCTACTCCGGGACTCGCTAATGCAAGTTGCCCAAGTAACTAGTCAAACCCACTTGGTAGCGTTGCTTTCACGGCCCAAGCCCATTAAAAATTGGCCGGGTATTGTTGAGTAATTTTTTGTTCAAGTAATCCGATCCTAATTAAAGGATCGGGTACGGGTCGATACGGTTCAGTTTTTTTCTTTTTTTTTAAAATTAAGGTATAATTAATTGTTGCATACAAACCCTAACTGCACGCAGAACTCTCACTTCCGGCGTCGTTACTCCGCCGTTGTTTCGCCGTCGTTTTTTATACTGTGTGTTTGGGTAAGTCAGAGTGCAAGAAGGTTCTGCGATAGTCTGGATTGCGAGCAATGAATAATCTGAAGTTGTCATGGGAGGTTTGGTCGGGGGTGCGGTTGCAAGGTCAGAAGGGAGATGAGTTCATCAGACTGTCCACAGTGGACATGGAGCGCAACCGCCTCTTCTTGTCTTCCTCCGCCAATTTCATTTACTCTACGGAACTTCCTTCACCACAGGTAGAAACGAATGCCTCTCCTTGTCCGATTCTCAGTTCCTGTTTGCTTGTGTTTTCCGTAGTCTAATGCGGATTATTCTTGGATGGATTTTTATTTTTAGTGAACTTTGAAATGTGATTTAGTAGGTTTAGTAATTAGTACATATTGAGCCAGCGCGAAGTGATTCGTTTGATGTTTTATCACTGGATTCTACTTCGTTTCGTTCCGTGGTTTGATCAATAATTTTTGTTCTGAGGCAGGTTGAAGGATCCAGGGACAACATCATGGCGCCTGCCTCTGTTCAGCTGATTGATTTAGAAAGTGGAGATGCTATAACTTGTTTGGAGTATCTTATGGAAAAGGAAGCCTTGCTCATTGCAACTTTGAAAGGGTTTCTCTTGCTTCATTCTGTCAATGATAATACAACTGAAGTTGTTGGTCAGGTGGAGGGTGGTGTTGGGTGCATTTCACCTAGTCCTGATGGAGATTTACTTGCTGTGGTAACTGGTTTTGGACAGATCCTTATGATGAATCTTGACTGGGATGTGTTATACGAGATGCCACTTGAGGATTCACATGAAGCCCTTGACGTAAGTAAGGACTTGCTGCCATATTCTTTACTTTAAAAAATAATTTGAACCTAGAATATTTCAGTCTTTCATGTTTTATTTGGGCATCTTCTCCACACTTTCCCTATTAGCATTTTCTAGATGGAATCATTATGTGTGTGTGTGTGTTTTGCTGTTTTTGCTTTTATTGGTTTCGAGATAGAAGTAGTTATTGAGTATGATATTTTTTTTAATAAAAAGTAGGTTTGGGGTTTTAATGGATAGTGTTTTTGATGAGAGGTTTTTAGGGGCAAAAAATATGTTATAGTAGTTTGCAGTAGTATGACAATGAAAGTAAACGCAAGTACAGGAACACTTATTTATTTATCTTTTTTCACATGCATTCCAAAATTATATATTCATTGTTTGGCATTAAATTGTGGTGCATGCAATTTCAAATTTGGATGCTGTTGCTCCAATAAATAAGAACTGGGGATTGAACAAAGTTTGGCATCCTTGTATCAGCATTCACCTTTTTCTTTTTTAGTATATGAAGTCTGGAAAGTATTAGTTGCCTATAAAATGTTGTATATGGCAAATTCAACTTCATTCTCAATAAGAAGAAGATTCTTCTGGGGGTTCACCCTGGTTTCAATAGAAATAGACTTTGAGCTTTTTGTCTTGGCACGCTACCATAGGCATGTCCCATAAATCTGAATATATGATTACCGGTATCAAATTCATGTTTGGTTTCTCTGTGGTCTGTGATTTGTTAGTTTCTTCCATTTCAATGCCCATTTCTCCTGACAAATTTTGATAATTAATTATAACTTATTGATTCATTTGACTGTTTTTTTCAGATGATTCATTGTCTTCTGCTGATGGTTCATTTGAGGCTTCTATTTCATGGAGAGGTGATGGAAAATTTTTTGCATCACTGAGCAAGGTGAATGATACCTTTTCTCCTTGTAAAAAGCTTAAAGTTTGGGAACGTGACTCAGGTGCCCTTCAGTCTGTCTCTGAACCAAAGTCATTCATGGGTTCAGTTTTGGACTGGGCCCCAAGTGGAGCTAAAATTGCTGTTGCTTACGATCAAAAGGAAGAAATTAAATGTCCGTCTATAGTTTTATTTGAGAAAAATGGCTTGGAGAGAAGCTCATTCTCTATTAATGAGGGAATAGGTGTGACCTTAGAATTTCTCAAGTACAATTGTACCTCAGATCTTCTTGCTGCTGTTGTCAGGGATGAAGCATTTGACACCCTCAAAATATGGCACTTAAGCAATAACCGCTGGTACTTAAAGCACGAAATCAGATATCCAAAGGAAGATGGAATAAAGTTTATGTGGGATCTGATGAAACCATTAAGGTTGACTTGTTGGACTCTTGATGGGCGAGTTATAACTTACAAATTTGTTTGGCTTTCAGCTGTAATGGACAACTCAATAGCATTTGTCATTGATGGATCAAAAGTACTAGTAACCCCATTTAGTTTGTGCTTGATTCCACCTCCTATGTACTTTCTTGGCTTAGCATTTCCTAGTGTGGTTCGGGATCTTGCTTTCTGTTCCAGAACTTCCCAAAATCATCTGGCAGCTTCTCTGTCAGATGGAAGTTTGTGTGTTGTGGAACTTCCAGTGCTTGATCAATGGGATGATCTGGAAGGCCAGACATTCAAAATAGATGCTTTACATCTTGGTAAAGACTACACATCATTGCAGCACCTTTCTTGGTTGGATTCACACATTCTACTTGGTGTGTGCCATCTTGGTTCTGGTCATGGTAACACAAGCAAGCAGGCCTCCTGTGAGGGAGATACTCGTCCAGGTTATTACCTTCAGGAAATTAAGATAAGATGTTCTGAGGATCGTATTCCTGGATCCGTAACATGCTCTGGATGGCATGCTGAATCCTTACATCAGATTTATGTTGATGGGGTTGTAATCAGTATGGCATCAAATCCTCTTAAGAGGTACTCCGCATTTGTTCAGTTTGATGGCGGGAAAGTGTTTGAATATGTGTCAAAGTTTGGTTTGAACAGAGGGTTTGGTCTTGAGAGATGTGATGACATGGCTTTCCTGTCATCCTGCCCATGGATTAACATCGCCCCTGTTGGAGACTATACACGAGAGAGACCATTGCTTTTTGGCCTTGATGACAATGGAAGACTCTGTCTAGAGGGAAAAGTTATCTGTAACAATTGCAGTAGTTTTTCATATTACTCAAATTCTGGCGATGGGATGATAACACATTTGGTTCTTTCTACCAAACAGGATCATCTATTTATTGTTGATATTGATGATATTCTGAAGGGACAACTGGAACAGTACGAAAATTTCCATCCTGTCCCAACAATGAAAAGAAGGGAAGAAAAGGAGAATGTATTTATAAATATATGGGAAAAGGGAGCCCAGATTGTTGGTGTTGTCCATGGGGATGAATCTGCCGTCATACTGCTGACAACCCGAGGAAATTTGGAGTGTGTGTATCCCAGGAAGTTAGTCCTTACTTCAATTATTAATGCCTTGGGTCAGAGGCGCTTTAAAGACGCCTTACTTATGGTACGCAGACATAGAATTGATTTTAACATCATTATTGATCATCATGGTTGGCAAACCTTTATCGAGTCAGCTGCAGACTTTGTTAGACAGGTTAACAATTTGAGCTATATAACAGAACTTGTTTGTGCGGTTAAACAAGAAAATATTATGGAGACACTGTACAAAAACTATGCTTACCTGACTCGCATTAGTGGCACCGAAGGTTCGACATGTGGAGCTTCAAACAGGACTAATGCTGAAAACAAGGTGAATGCTGTCCTTACGGCTATACGAAAGTCTCTTGAAGGGCAAATTGAGGCGACACCTGCTAGGGAGCTCTGCATTTTGACAACATTGGCTAAAAGTAATCCCCCAGCTTTGGAGGAGGCTTTGAAGAGAGTAAAGGTTATCCGGGAGAAGGAGCTCTCTGGAGTTCCTGATCCAGAGCAAGCTTTGTATCCTTCTTCTGAAGAATCTTTGAAGCATTTGTTATGGCTTTCGGATTCTGAGGCAGTTTTTGAAGCTGCTTTAGGTCTTTATGATTTGAATCTCGCTGCAATTGTTGCATTAAATTCACAGAGGGATCCGAAAGAGTTTGTGCCGCTTCTTCAAGAATTGGACTCCATGCCGAAACTTTTAATGCAGTACAACGTCGACCTTAAATTAAAAAGGTATGAGAGTGCATTGAGGCACATCGTTTCTGCCGGGGATCCTTATTATGAAGATTGCCTGAATCTAATGGAGAAAGTCCCACTGCTTTATCCATTGGGCCTGCAGTTGATTGGCGACCCTCATAAGAGGAAGCAAGTTCTTGAAGCATGGGGCGATCACCTCCATGCTACAAAATGCTTCGAGGATGCTGCTGCCACTTATTTGTGTTGCTCCAATTTGGAAAAGGGATTAAAGGCTTATCGTGCTTGTGGTAACTGGATGGGTGTTCTAACACTTGCCGGTCTACTCAAGCTTGGAAGGGATGATCTTTTACAGCTGGCACGCGAGCTCTCCGATGAACTTCAGGCACTTGGTAAACCAGGGGATGCGGCAAAAGTGCTTATAGAGTATTGCAATGATATTGATAATGGAATTAACTTGTTGATCGAAGCAAGAACTTGGGAAGAAGCTCTACGCGTTGCTCTCTTGCACAGAAGGGATGATCTCATTGTCGTAGTGAAGAATGCCGCTGTGGAGTGCGCAAGCACACTTATTGGCGAATACAGCGATGGAATAGAGAAAGTCGGCAAGTACTTGACCCGATACTTAGCTGTCCGCCAGAGAAGATTATTACTTGCTGCAAAAATTAAATCTGATGAACGGTCAATCGGGCACTTAGACGATGATGCTTCTTCACAAGCTAGCAGTAATTTTAGCGGAATGAGTGCATACACCACCGGGTATTATTACTATGTCGATTCTTGCTACATTTCTTTGTCTGTTCAATATGAACTGTTTAGATTTTCTTCCATTTTCATATGCAGAACAAGGAAAGGGTCGAGTGCTTCTACAACCATCAGCACATCCACAAAGGGAAGAGGTCGACAACGGAACAGGGGAAAAATCAGGGCCGGGAGGTACCAGATTTCCCGCATTGTTGTATTATTCTATCTTATATAAAGCTTTTAAATATATTCTTGCGCGTTGTGCAGCCCTGACGAGGAGATGGCTCTAGTCGAGCATTTGAAAGGGATGTCTCTTGCTGAAGGCTCAAAGTGCGAGCTCAAGTCCTTGTTAATTTCTCTCGTTATGCTCGGGGAGGAAGAAGCAGCGAGGAAGCTGCAGCGTATAGCTGAGAAGTTTCAACTGTCGCAAATTTCCTCGGTGAAGTTAGCTGAGGATGCAATCCCCACGGACAACATCGATGAGCATGTCTTCGCCTTGGATCATTACATCGAAAAGTCGCGGAAACTAGTCGAGGTATCAGATGCATTCTCTTGGCGATCCAAGGTACTGATCTGATCTAAACCCTTTTTAGGAGGAATTTGTTTCATTTGAGCATTTTTGAGAAGGTAATTTTGGATATGAATATTGCTTAGGGAGTTAATCTGCCAAATAAAAAAAAAAGGTTGTTTTTGTTCGCACACGCATGTTCAAAAGCTTTGAAATTTTGCTGTGGTGATATTTTGGTAATTAGAGGTAGGAGTGGAGATAATTTTGTAATTGAATATGAATTACATAGATTATAAATGCAAAAAAGCTATTTAGTATAATAATTTTAAATGATAAGTGAGACAGTATTACTACATTTGGGACTAAAGAGATTATTTCAATTTTTGATAGATTGTTAAATATTAGGGTTGCCTGATTGGGTTTCGATTTATAATAAGGGGAGGGGTTTACAATGTTAATTGGGATTAATCAGCAACTGATTAGTCTAATTAGCATATAGACTGTTGTCATGCGTTATAGTTTAGTAAAATATTTTGTTTATTCATAATTTTATTATTTTTATTTTAATAAATAATTGAAATTATTATTATTATTACTTTATTAATATTTTGTCAAAACATAATTGACATGTGACACTAGGTAATGATATTTAGTTAGTTATTAATTAATAATAACGAATTACTTAAATTTAATTAATTATAATGAGTTATTTAAACTTAAGGATTAGGTGCTGAACCTAAGAATTTAGCACCTTATTCAAGCTGTTTTTTTTTTTTTTTTTTTTAGCCACCGTAGATTCTATCAGTAAATATTAGTAATACTTTTTATATTTATTTATTATTTTATTTTTACTTTATTATAGTACTATATTTTTATAAAATAGTAAGAGCAATTTAATTATTACTAATATTATATCTATAAAATATTAAATATATTTAAATTTATTTGTTAAAAATAAATACTCCTTCTATTCGGGTGCAAGGTTACCAGGTTATTGTTTATTTTTTGCACATAAATTTTTGAATATTAGTTTTATAATGAATTTTAATGAAAAAAACGAAAATATTCCTATTAGTATTGTGTAATATAGTGTAAGTTGGAAAGATATTTATTATGTTTGGTATGTAGTACAACTATTAAATTAGAAAATGGTAACCCTGTTTTGGGACAGACAAAAATGAAAAATGACAACCTTTCAATGGGAATCTCCCTCCGTCCAAATATAATAGTTTTGTTTACCATTTTTGTCCGTCTCAAAACAATAGTCTCATTTTCATAAATAATTATATCACCGTAAAATTATCCTGCTATTACTTTTTACATTAATATACTTACAAAGTCAAAAAAGTAATTTATCCTTACTTTTTATTAACTATCAATATTTCTTATTCCTTCTTAAATCTTGTGTCCAATACAACAAGATTAATACTTTTGGAACATAGGTAGTATTTTGTCTCAATACAATATTTTCTTTTTGATAAATCTAAAAAATCAGCAATATTCTTAAAATAAAAAATAATTAAATATATTTAATTTTTACTCCATATTTTTATCTTATTACATCATAAATAAATATATATTTTTCTCTATCACGAAATAACAATGAAAGTAAAAAAAGCATATAAATAACTAATATTGAAAACGGATGGAGTATAAACTTTTGAGACGAAAAGAGTACATATTAGTGTAGGCTTAGGGGTAGGGGCAGGGGTAGGGGTAGGGTTCACAATTCAGCAGAGGGTGCCATACATATCCATCGTTGGAAATGAAAATTTTGCTGATTCCCCACGAGTTGCGGGAATGGACGAAGGAGATGAAGTTAAATAGAAAAGCAGATGGGCGGGTGGCCGTCCGATGGAGAGATACCGTGGTCCTGGTCCTGGTCCTGGCTCATCTGAAGGAAGAGCAGAGCACGCATTTCGATGGAAAGGAAGGGAAGGGCCGTGCTAGTGTGTGCAGAGGTCCACGGTCCCAACCGTACACTCTACTACTGCTCTGCCGTGTTTCGGAATTAAAGGCACCTGCCTGACTGGACTGACTGACTGACTGGCTGATGACGTGTACTGGAGAGTAGGCTAGTAGAGTAGAGTAGGGACCTCTACCCACCCACCCGCGCAGCACTAGATCATATCCTGGTCCAGGCCCTACTTGTGGGTCTCGCAAGCCGATCACGCCACGCCATTTCGCCATTTATTTATTTACTTCCACCCTCTCACATAATTTATCCATTTTTACTATTTTCGTCCGTCCTACATAATTTATTTTAAAAAAAAATAAATTATACACTTTAATCATATTTCAAAATTTAAAATTTAAATTTTTTAAATCTTAATTAAATTATTTAATTATCTTAATCTTAATCTATAATTATTTTTACTAAATAATAATTATTTTTACTAATACATTTTTTAATTACTTACTAATTATATTTTACCTGAATTTTCGTGTCTACAGTAACACTCATATTATATAGGACGGATGGAGTATTTTTTAAAATCGATATACAGAAAATTTGATATGATAAATATATATTGATATAGTATAAAATATTACTCTCTCCGTCCCGAAATTAAGATTTAAAAATATTGATATTATATTGAAAGTGAGTAAAAAGTATAAGTAAAAAACATTTTTGTCCTTGTGAGTGTATTAGTGTAAAAGATAATGACAATCGTGTAATAATAATGAAAAAGTAATTGTAGTTTTATAGTGATATAGTTATTTATTGAAATAAGCCTATTATTTTGGGACGAACAAAAATAGTAAACAAGACTATTGTATAGAACGAAGTGAGTAGTATATTGTGAAATATCAAATTATACTTTCTAAATTCTAATTCAAAGTATTATTTTATCATTTTTATGTGTTTCACTTGAAGGTAAGTTTTTTTTTTCTTTTCTTAGTAAAAATTATCATACACTAATATTATACTATTTTAATTTTTATTTAAATTACAAACTTATCATTACATATAAAATTATTTTATACATAAAATCAAATAAAAAAAATATCAAAATTAAATTATGCAGAAGGAGAAGATATTCGTAGAGTGGTTCATAAATCTGTTTTCCAACCCAGACTTCAATGCGGCGTGTGTATTACAGTGAACTACTCCCTCCGTCTCACGTACCGTGTCTGCTACACTGTAGACACGGTATTTTAGGATGGGTATAATTGATAGATAATTAAGAATATATTAGTGAAAATAATTATTCGATAATATAAATAATTATAAATTAAGATTAAGATAACTAATTAGTTTAATTAAAATTTTTAAAAAAATAAAATTAAAAAGTTTTAAATGAGATTAAAGTGTGTAATCATTTTCCAAAAAAGGAAAGTGACATGATATATGGGACGAACAGAAACGGCAACGTGGACATGATATGTGGGACGAAGGGAGTATAATGATTTGAAATTATAGAGTTTGTTCCTTTTGATAAGTTTAGTAAAATTTTGGTTTGAATTTGATATTAAAATAATATTTGATTAGATATTTTATGAAAAAAAATATTTTTTTCGAAAAATAAATAGTTCAAATAGTAAAATTTGAAAAATTTGAGTAAAAGACGTACCCATAGGGTGACTTATTTATTTTTGTAACTTTTTTCTCTCAAAATATTTCACTAATTATAATTCATCTTTTATGCAAATATATATATATATATATTACTCTCTCTGTCCACAAACTAATTTTCTATTTTTTTATTTGGAATGTTTAACAATTATTGTTATATTTTTATTTTTATACATAAAATTTACTCTTTTACCTTTACTTTATTTACTCTTTTATTTTCTAAACACAAAATTAAAGACATATTTATCATCTTATAACAAAAATTTTAATTACCTAAAAATACGTATAAATATTAAATAGGACGTTAAAAAAAATAGACAGAAGAGGGAGTATCAACAAATATCTTTTTAGAAAAAAAAAATGAAAAAACACGCCTAGGCTTGGTGGTGAATATTATAATGAAATATCAGTATGAATTAATTAATGTAATTGGAATTTGTGTGTACAATTTAAAGTGTAAAAAGTGTTGCACGCCTCACTGGACTCACTCTAACCTGGACCATAATACGTACAGCATTTCTAATACTTTATGCTAGACTAATTTTTAATTTGATAATTTTTATTATTGTTATTATAATTTTATAGATATACTATAATTCGAGAAAAAACGATAAATTAATTAATATATATATATTAAAATATAAATAATAAAATTGTAATTAAAAAAAATATATATTATTTTGATATCAAAATAACAAATAGATATACTAAAGAAATGAATTACTCCATAAGCGACGGTTTAAATATCCGACCATTCATTTCATGGGCCCTGACATTCAACGGCGCCGATTGTCCGGGAGTCCAGATCCAGGGACCCCCTACCTATTATATGCCCTTCGCTACAAACGACAAACGCTCCACCGCCTGCTCAAAAAGCACCGCCAGTCCCAAATTTGCAGTCAGTCAGTTCCGTCCGTCCGTCCGGCGACGAAGAGGAAGCAATGCAGAGGAATTTCAGGCCAGAACTCAACTGAATTCGATCTGCTGATGCTGCATTTCATCAATGGCGAATATGCACAACGCGGCCAACCGATTCTGTTCTTCGTCGTCTTCTTCGCCTCAACGAGAGCCAGACGAGATTTCTCTGTTCCTCCAGCAAATACTCCTCCGCTCTTCCTCGTCGTCTTCTACATTTTTCACCCCGCCGGAGACGCAGTCCTCTACGCCGGAGATTCGAGAATCTGTGACGGTTCCTGTACCGGTTCCGGACCGGATCTCCGCGCCGGAGCCGTCGTCCAGGTTTAAACCGTCCTCGTATGATTGTAGTCTCGTTGCGAGAGAAGCTGCGGTCGTCTCGTCGTCTTCGTTTAGGAATTTAGAGAATGAGCTGGATGAGTATGACTATGAAAGTGAGGTATTGCTACAGTACTGCTTCACCTTGTTTATCGTCCTTATGGCATTTCAGCAAGCACTTGTTGAGCATTTCGAATTCATCTACGAAGAGTGATTACAAATTGCAACCTGTGTATCAATTTTTTTTTTGTTTATTATTTTTTTCGTTGATGATTATGCTTAGGAAGTTGTTGAAGCGGTTGTGGAGGAGACAATCCCTAAGCCAGCAATGCAGCGGAGTTCATCTAAGAGGAGTAGAGCAGCTGAAGTGCATAATCTGTCTGAGAAGGTTGTTCTCTGTTTATCCTCAGGATTTAATTCTTCTCTGTAAACGCGAAATCGTTAATAATTAATTTAATTTACAGAGGAGGAGGAGCAGGATCAATGAGAAAATGAAGGCGCTGCAGAATCTAATCCCCAATTCAAACAAGGTGAAACCTAAATCCGTGCTTGCTTACTGTCTGCTTCTGTTATGGTGGCATAAGAAACTTTTCTATGTTCTTGGCAGACTGACAAGGCTTCGATGCTTGACGAAGCCATTGAGTACCTCAAACAGCTGCAACTTCAAGTGCAGGTAAGTTTTCATCAGTGCTTACCTTTTGAAATTCTTCACATCTTGCTTTCGTATAACTGTAATTCGACTGATAATTTCATGGAAGATTATTCTGAACTCGAAGAAAAAACGATTCGAAAAATGAGCATCCAATTCCTGAGAAATCAAATCCACCATTAACAATCCATCCACAACAATATACACCATATATTTCTGTTTGTTCAATGAATAGAGCGATGAAGATCATACTAGAAACATCAGTTTAGTGTTCATTATTATATCAAACATTTAATGCTATGATTTTGATTCACAACTTCAATGATGAGTTTATATTGGAAATAATCACGGAAATTGAATTCTTCGTGCAAACTCTCATACGCTTTTCCAAATTGCTCGAGGGGATTGAATTCCAGAATTTCTTATATGTTACATAGCATATATATTCGAATCTGAATGATTCTTCGAACTTCATCTGGATCCGGTTTTCTGTAGATGTTGACTATGAGAAATGGATTGAGCCTTTATCCCATCTGCCTCCCGGGGATAATGCAGCCAACCCAAATCTGTCAGATGGCAATGGACATTTCAGATGGTGAAAAAGCTTTCAATTTGAACATGACCAAAGCCATTGCAACGGATCGAACAATTTCAGAAGATGCCATACTCAGCTTGCAAGATGACCGCGTAAAGCAGACGCCGGTGCCTAATTTCTCAACTATGATGGGAATTAAATCCACATTGAACTTAGAATCATCTCTGCAGGATCATCCCGGGCCCTTCCCATTCTGCGTGCCCCCTGAGGTAAGCTCGTCGTGGTTTTAATATTTCCATAGCTGTTATGTAATGTTTCTTGATGAAAATCGATATATATACTTGTAGGAGAAGTTGCTTCCCCACCAACCACCCGACCATAGCCACTCTCAGTCGACAGGTAGGATCTCAGATTTACCTGTCTCGGATACGACTCAATGTGTATTTATACTGAGGTGTTTTTTCTTGTCCCTGTAGGTAAATCGACACCTTTCACCCCATTCGGAACCCGGCCATTAATCCCAAAAGAGACTAATTTACCTCCATCAGAAAAGCTCGATGTTTTTACCACAGATGAATGTGAGTAATTTCTTAAAAAACATCGATCTGTTTGTGCGCTGTGACGACGAATTCTGCCATAGTATATTAAAATTTTACTGTCTGTGTCTATATTTACATACGCAAACATCGCACGCCAAGGCTAATTTCTCAATCACCTTGTTTCAAGAATCGCTGACTTGTCGTCGACGTGTTGAATGTAAGGAAAAAACAGTGTCGGGAGGAATACAATACAACGAGGCGCATCGATTATAAAAAGAGAAACATAGGTAAGAAAATCAACGCAAGCAAGATAGAGCGACGAGCCGTGCTTATCGGAGAACCGATGTTCATGGCATGAAGCGATTCTACAGCCACCGGAGAAGCCACAGGCGCCGGCGCCGGCGATGATAACACCGGAAGCTGAGCTGGCGGTGGAGGCGCGAACACAGGCACGTCGCAAACACCGAATCCCGCACCCGCCTGGTTTGCGAAATACATTTCTATTAGAAAGCATTTTTTTCGCGACAATCGGTTAATACTTTCGTTTTATAAGCTTACTCTGCAATAGTCGATGCTGTCGCAGCCGCAGATCGTTCGTCCGTTGGCTTTATCAACGGCTGCCGCCGCTCCTCCCCCGTCGCTCCTCTGCAAACGTTTACGTTTTCAATCGACTCATAGGGAAAACGTTTATCATTAAGGTACGTACATTACCTTGTAGAAATCGACGGCAACGAAATTCGGCCAGCGATTTCCCGACGCTGCGAAGCACGTCTCGGTCATGTTCATCAGGTTCACGGAGTTATCGACGCAAGCCTGCGACGCGTCCGCGTTCGATCGAAAGTAGTTCATGAGTACGAGCGATCTCGACCGGTCGTCCATTTTGTTCGATTTCAATCGTCGCGGACACGAATTGATCTTCATCCCGTCGTTCCCGTCTGCAGATTGGAAGAACAACGGTATGACAAGAGCGTCGATGGACCAATTCGGAGTATCGTAGAGTGGTTTGACGACGTACACTGATTCTCGACCACATAGTTCCATTCGTACGCGACCTTTTCCGAGGCCTCCTTCGACTTAACTGACGTGAAGACGATGAGACGGTGATTCTTCTTAACCATGTCGTCGACGGTAGGCCAGTCTTCGCCGTCTTTTGGCGTTTCGGACAACGGGAGTCGGTATTGATTCAGCCCCGACACGTTCAGCACTCTCGTCAACCCTTTTGGGGACTTGATGTAGTCCTCGATGAAGATCGTCACGATCTCCGTCGGATTCCGGTCGAGAAACGCTTTGATTTCTCCCAATGCCGTTACGGCGGGTTCCTAGTCGACAACGGAATGGTTCAAACAAAATCTACGACGAGCAATGGGTGAATCAAATCGAATTGAATCGAGCAAAACGAAGCTTACGAATGAAGTGACATTCAAACAAGCTCCGTGGAACGAATGGCACAGCCAAATGTCGTGGTCGAAGAAGTCGTACATGTCTAGCATCAACCCTCGAACGCCATTCTACCGTTGATCGAGCGAGCGAGCATACGAACAATAACTACTGGGTAAGATTTCGCAATAATCTCGATAAATAATCACACACAAAGGCGTTCGAGAGCTTACGTTTAGCTGATCTGTAATCGAGTCATCTTGATTCGTCGACGTGAGAAGAACGGAGCCGGTGCCCGATGTCTCCCGTCGCATCGCGAACGAGTTGTGCGTCGTAAGCCACGAGTATTTGTTGAAGGGAAGCCCTTTGATCTGTTCACATGCATCAATTCTTCGCCTAATTGCGCACAAAAAAATCCAAAAAAAAAAGTATTTGTAACCTATAACGGTGACCTTAGTCGTCGGGATTATGGGTTTTGTTCGAACACAACGAGGCCGGGTGTTGTTGTTTGCCGGGCAGGCATCGCACGTCAGCCCTTTATCGCACAGGTTTTGCGCCGAGCACGTCTCCCCGATCTGTTCAATTCCCCGAACGACGACAACGAGTCATAGTCCATCGAGAAAATTCGAGGTTTTCGAAAAAAAATTGTACCTTTAGAGATGTAGCTTGCGGTAGGAAGAAAGCTGCGGCTACGATCAAGATCGATAGCTTTGCCGGCGGACGGCGACGATGACAATCGGAACCCTATAAAACAACACGACGATATCGAATGTATATATATATATATATTTGTATGTATATGTTTAGGATTGAGATTAAGGTGTGAAATTGCATGCCTGCATTTTGGATATTTTTGCTGAAGAAATTTAAAAATAATTATTTGATTTGATAGAAAGGTATAGAGAGAAAGAGGATGATGATGATTCTTGCCTCAGATCTCTATACCTTTCTCTTTCTCTGTTGGGGTTAGATTATTAGTAGAATGCGATTCAGATTGATTTATTCATTGATTACTCCAATCCAATTACAATTGGCCCTATACAATTGGTTGCTTAAGATATATAATCTCTTTCCTATTTTGGAAGAATCACTTAATTATTTGTTACTATTATAATGAACCTGTAAGTTTATTTTATAAACAAAGTATAAAGCCGATCTTACATAAAATTTGTTAGAAACTAATGAGGAAAATCTGAGATTTTATAAATAACACTGAAATTCGAATTTTCTCAAAACGAATTTGGCCCATCATCCATTGTCTCCCATGATAGAACGAATTAATAACGGATTCCACTAACCCAATTAAATTATAGACATTTTCAAGAAGTAGAGAATTTTTTAGAAGCTTTTCAAAAGAGAGATTTTTATTGAAAAAATAAAAAATAAAAATTATCCAAGTCAAAATTGGATTGTTAAGCAATTGGACTTGGCTCACAGCCCACAACCCAAAAGTTAAATCTTGCCTCTAATATAATCCAGCCAAAATAAGCCCAAAAATAAGTTTAGGCCCAATCAAATCTAAATTTCTCATTTACTCTTGATGAGATGTAATTTAATATAAGAAAGGGTGATGTATGTGTTCCCAATCTCTCCTATCTCACTTCTTCCTCTTTCACCAACACCAATAAAATTGAACAAGAAAGGGTCGTCAAGATATTAAAAATATTAACAAACATTCAAAAATAAACAACACGTACAAGATATAAAATATAAGACATACTCCCTCTGTTCATTAAAATTAGTCCATTTGGCTCCGATACGGGGATTAAGAGAAATGAAAATTTTTTTAAAAAAATAGATGGTCGTGGTTATTTTTGGAAATCTAGTTAGAAAGTAAGTAAATAAAGAAAGAAAATGTAATAACTTTTAGTGGTATTTATTGTAAATAAGTGTTTAATAAGGGTAATAACTAAATGTTGATTTGTTGACTTTGCCAAAATTAGTAATGAAATAAACTTAAACAGACGGACTAAAATTAAAAGTGAGACGTACACAATAATAGTCTAGTGACATTAACTCATATTAGAGTTGATCTTATCACAAAAATATGTTAACAATAAACATATATATATATATTATGAGGATTCAAACTATGTGTTAAAAGACAATCAAAGTGTGCAATAGTATCATGTGTTAAGTGGGCTATTATAAAGTGAATTGAAATCAAATGGGTTGATGAACATCTTGAACAAGAACAATCAAATCAAACATTCCCTCCATCTCCATGATCTATTCTCACCAAAACAATAACATATGCTTTTTTTGCTACAAAATCTTACCCATTAAGGTTTACAAATCCTTAGTTTGCAAGAATACATCCAAATTCAATTCAATACTTATCCAGTGTTGAGTGAGTGCTGAAAATTAAAGTCCATTTCTTGATGGAATCTGATCTAAGCAAAGCAGCACACCACTGCCTCTGCCTCTGCCTCAGCAAAACACCTTTATTCATTTCTGACCACATAAATTTGAACAACAAATAACACCCTCATATACATTTTCTTGATTTAATGTATGTATGTATGAATTTCAACTACATTTATTCCTGTCTGCTATACAACCAACTTGCAATTCAATCTCAAACCCCAAAAAATTAAAATTAAAGAAAACCCAACTGGCAAAAATATCTGCTCTGTTGCCTAACACTTCCAACCATAATTCAAGTAACAAAAAAAAGGGTCTGACAAACTGAATTAAAGAAATCAGACAAGTCTTGTAGTAATAAAAATTGCTTCTTTAAAGAATAGAATATTATCTCTGTACAGTGGCGTTGCGGCTCTGTGTATTTATGTATGAATCTAATCTCATCTCTCAAATCTTTAATTTTCGACAGTAAAAAAGATAAGAAAAGAAAACCCTATCTTCACTGCTGCCTTAATAAAGCTACAAAAATTAATAAAGTAGAAAAAAAATATATATTTTTTAAATAAATAAAAAAAAAATGTTAATCTGTGCCTGCCTGCCTGCCTGCCTTCCTGATCAAAATTGACTGTCACTGCATCGCTTGTTAGCTTCACCTGACGGTGACCCATCCTTCGGTGACGGACCAATCAGGATCCTCGATTGTGATCAATCGCTGCAGACGCTCCGCCGCCTCTACAACGACGGACTCGTCGGAGAACGGTACGGAAATTTCCGGTAAGGGTAAAGATGCAATTGAACATGACCACTCGGGGAAGTCGAAAGGACCCCGTGGGGAAGACGCGGACGTTTCTGATTCCGCGCAACAATCCGACGTGTCAATATCTCGGCCGTCAGATCCCTCGCCGCAGACGAATGGGTGACGTAGAAGCATCTCAGCCGTCCATCTCGTCCGCGGATCCTTCACAAAGCATTTTTCGAGAAAATCTCGGCCGTCCGATGATAGGACTGCGGGGATCGCCGGAATCTCCTCGCCGGCGCCGATTCTTAGCAGCAGCGCCGCCACGTCGGAGCAACTCCACGCCGGAGATCCACTAACTAACTCCGCCACCACGCATCCCAAAGCCCATATATCCGCCGGAGAACCAATCTCGCCGCCGCAAACCACCTCCGGCGACATGTACAGCGGCGTTCCCCTCAGCTCGCCCCCCGAGCCGGCGGCGCATCTCCCAGCGCGCTTAGCCAAGCCGAAATCGGCTATCTTCACGCCGCCATTGGACCCCAATAGAATGTTCTGGAGCTTCAAATCGCAGTGAACGAATCCGAATTTGTGGATGTAATCAAGCCCTTTCAGCAACGCCTTGGTGTATCGCCGGACTTCCGATTCCGGCAAGCTCCGATCGCCGGAGTTCTTAAGCCTATCCGCCATAGATCCGCCGGAAGCGTGCTCCAACAACACGTTATAAAGCTTCTCCCCGCCCTCAAACGAAAAGCTATCACCAAAACACCTAATAATCTCAGGACAACCATTCAGATCCTCCAAAATTACCTTCTCATTCATCAGCGAACACGACTGCGACGCTGCGCACGACTTCACCGCCATTAATGGCGGAAGGGGAGAGCAACTCCGGCCAGTCCGAATCGCTAAATTCACCGTCGCAAAACTTCCATGCCCTAATTTCTCACCGCGAATCCAACACATATCCATTGTAAATCCAATTCGCCGTAAAATTAAACCCCCAAATTACAGCGATCTCGTCGAAGAACTCAAATCGGAGAAAGAAGAGAGAAAAAAAGGAAAAACAGAGAGCAGAAGTCTGGTGCAACTGACGAGAGATTTTGGGGATTGGGCTGCGTGGCTATATATAGGGAAGATTTGGGGGCGAAATCCTGGCCGTTGATTGCAAATCGAGTGAAACGTGCGGATGGGATTAAATTCCCAAAAATAAAATAGCACGTGGGAAGGAAGGATATTTCGCGGGAATCTGAAATATAGCGTATGGCGTAGTTAAAGCAACGTGGGTAATAATTATGGCAATAATTTTTTATTTTTTTTATTTTATTATTTTAATTGAATTCAAATGCTATATGGTTACAAATTACAATTGTAATTAGGGTTTCAATTCGACAGCCCTAATTGTCAAAATAAATAAAGAAATATTTCCTTAATTAATCCCTAGAGTATGCTAAGTTTCCATATTATTTTTAAGAAATCATCTAGAACGTCCACACTAGCTACATATAAATTTTAAAGAAACAATATTAATTTAGATTTATTAAAGATGTATTATTGTTGATCAATATGGTATATTTAAGTTAATCAAATATATTTAAGGCTTCATTTAGATATTTTTAATTTTGAAAGTCAATAGTAAATTACAATTTGTATAACTCTAAAGTCCCTTTAATTAAATAATTTATGTAGAAAATGAAAAGTTGATATTAATCAAGGGTTTTGGCCTTTGGAATAAGATTGACCTTAATTGGATTTTGATTTAATTAATTAATAATGATCGAGAAAGATTTTTATCTTAATTACAGCATGTGTCAATTAACTTGTAGTAAACTAAGACTTTGACCCCCAAAATGAAAGTCAAAGCAAGAGAAATAACGTTTTGTCAACGTCTGTAGTAAGAGTGGATGATTAATTAGTGAAATTATGAATATATAATAAATAGTGGAAAGTGAATCGGATTGGATTGGATTCACACCAATGAATAATTTATATATATATATATATATATTTAAAAAAAAATAATTATTTAAATTAGTTGGGTATTGAAAAAGATGATTAAATTTGGATAATCTTTGAGTCATTTTTGGTGCATTGTATGTGTTTGTATTCCAAGGAGCCCAACTGGGGTGTGAAAGGACGTTGACGTGGCAAGTTTTGATTGGACCAGTTACGAGAGGTCTAGTCTAGTAAGTGTGAGGTATAGTGAATGGGTGCACTTATTTAATTAATTAATTTTATTTATTTATTGGTGCATGTTGAAGACGTTGACCGTTACGTTTTGGTGCAGTTGATGGGGTGGGCATCTTTGGGACGACTGCAACTTGAGGTCAACCTTCACGCCTGCGTTTTTCCGAATTCATCTTTTAATAATATTAAACGATTATATATATTGTCTACAAATTTATTCTGTCATTTTATATTGACTAATTATTTGATACCTTCCAAAGTTTCAAAACAAATTAAAATAGTTTCGAAATTTGAGATTAATAAGGATTATAAATTTTCAAGACTATGTAAAATAAGTTTAAAATTTTTCAAAACTAATAAAGGTTTCGGAATTTTTTAAATTAATTAAAATATGTTGGGAATTTTAGGAACAATGTTCGAAATTTTATAGTCTAACTAAAGGCTTCAGTATTTCCGAGACTAATAAAAATCTCGAAATTTCCGAAATTAATTACAATAAATTCGGAATTTTCAAGACTATGTAAAATAGGTTCAAAACTGTTCAATATTATAAAATATATATTTAATATAGTTTGAAAAGATTCGAAACTATTTTAAATAATCTTAGAATTTTCGAAGCAAAAAATATTAATTAATTTAATGTTTATTATATGTATATTGTATAGCATTGGAATTGATTCCGAAGTTAATTGGAGTCTAAATGCCAAATTTCTGGTAAGGCCAAATGCAAAATTATTATTTTTTGCTATTTTTGTTTATCTCACTTGAAAATATATATTTTTTTATTTTACTAAAAATAAATATACATTAATACGATAATATTTTTAATTTTTATTTACATTAGGAACATATTATTATATATATAATAATATTTTTATACATAAAGTTAAAAGGCAAACTGTCAAAACATCTTACGTATTTTCACTAACTAATAAAATATTACTCCCTTCGTCCAATAACAAAATATTAATTTTTTCATTTTAGTCCGTCTCATAACAAAGTATCTATTTCCTTTTTTTTAGTAACTGTAATATCTACCTAACATTATAAATACATTTACAACTTACAGTATATTACACAAATGTCATTACCTTTATATCACACATACTAATAAGGTTATTTTAGTCATTTTTACTTTATTTATACTATATCTCAATATAATATTAATATTTCTAAAACTACGTGTAAAAAACAAATAGATACTTACTTTTAGGACTGAGAGAGTATTACTTTTTAATTTACTGCTAAACCCAAAAAAATAAAAAAACATTCAAGTGAGACAAATAAAATATTATCGAGATGGTTGTAATAATGATCAATCATCTTTAGATTGTGGCTAATGAGAATTAAGTTAACAAAAAAATCTTATTATAAATTATTTTAATATCAAATTCTAATTTTATTTTATTTTTTTTAATCAAATTCATTCAAAAGAAACACGAAATTTTAATGCATAACATTGTATAAATATATATATATATATATTTTTTCTAAAATGGAAACTTGAGTCTATTTTCTCAATAGTAAATAAAATAATAGGATTCAATCTAATCACTCAAAGTAAAAAAATCCCTTAAATCTCTCTGGTATATAATTGTTGAGTTTTTAATGACCATACCTTAAATTATAAAATAAAATACAAATCATTGTTTGATTTTAATTGATTAGGGACATTATTAATACAAATATAGAATAGATTCATTCCTTTAAATAGGATTCGTGACGTCAATTAATATTTAAATTTAAAATTGAATTAATTATAACAAAGATTGCATAGAACAATTGATTAAATGGGACAAAAGCCCATAAATCGTGGAGGATCGGACCACAACAAATTAAAACAACAACATGCAGTGCAATTATTATTATTATTATTATTATTATTATTATTATTATTACTCCACTCTGTCATTCAAATTTATATTCATTTTTCTTTTTTTGGTTGTCATTCAAAAATATTCTCGTTTTTTTTAAGTAAAAAATTATTATTATTTTTTTTATTTTTTTTTTACTATAAAAGAAAAAAGTAACCATTATTATTCACTTTTATTAAAATTCATATTCGGTCAAATGAAAACACATTTGCATGATGGAGGAAGTAGTATTATTATTATGGCTCTAAATTTGAATATAATGCCGAAAAGTATTGTAAAAATAAAATTGTTTATTTTATTGCCTAAAATACAACTAGGTTGAATCAAATGATTAATTAACCATTTTAATTCAACACTTTACTTCAAAATATATTATTTTATCTTATAAAATATTATATTTAATTACTGTTTAAACACAAATTTAAATTAATATTTTATTTAATTGATTTTAAATTACAACTAAACAAACTTATAATATATTAGTAAAAAATAGTTATAGTATGACAAAATAATGTAGTTAATTAATTTAATTAATATAAATAATTAAAATATAATTAAAGTATGTAATTTATTTATTTTAAAAAATAAATAAAATGTGACACAGATTACAACCAAATCGAAGACATTGCTTAGCAAACTTAATTAATTAAATTAAATTAAATATTTTATTTATTTAATGGGCCCCACACACATGGGATAGAGCTTCACTTGGGGACTCGTTACTTTTCTCAAACTTAGTACATTACTAATTATATACTACTAATTAATTAAATAATACTCTCTTCTATTTTTCTATTTGGAATGTCCAATAATTATTATTTTTTTTTAATTTTTTATATACAAAATTTACTTTTTTTACTTTTACTTTATATACTCTTTCATTTTCTATACACAAGATTAAAGGCAAATTTGTCATTTTATAACAAAAATTTTAATTGCCTAAAAATACGTGTAAATATCAAATAAGACATTAAAAAATAGACGGAGAGAATAATATATTTTTATATATAATTAAGATATGATCTTCATTACGATAAGAGCAGTCCCATGAAAAATCTTGCAACAACTTGCAATAATAATAATAATAAACAATTCACATGCTAAATTTAGCATATGCTATTTAAAATAATAATAATAATAATAATAATAATAAGTTATTTATTTATTTTTTTTAGAAAAAGGGTATGACCAAGTTATTAGTTTATTTTATTTAATTGATAATGTAATATTTTGAAGGGAACATATGGACATGGTGATGTAGATGTAATGAGTTTTTGTATGCAAGAAGGGCCAACCTACCATTTATAGTTACTTAAGACACTAGTAATTCAAGTTAAATAAAAACACTAATACTACTATTAATTATATATGTTTATCATTTTTCGATTGTTCAATTACAAAAATAGTGTATTAATGGCACATAATTTTCTAAAATTATTACCCAAAAATATAATAATAATAATAATAATAATAATAATAATAATAATAATAATAAACGTCAACAAAATTAACAAAAAAACATTATTATGTAGAATACTTTCACAAATTCTTATACTTAAAATTAAGAGCTATTTACTTACATCAATACAATTATACCAAATTAAAATATTAAACAAAAAAAAAAAAGTGTCTACCAAGTAATTAAAATTAATTAAATGCAACTTTAATTTAAATAAAAATAAAACTATAAACACTTAAATCTATTGAATCGATTATTATTGATGTATTAAATGGGAAATACCTACTGAATCATGAATATAATATAAATCCAGTAAATAAATTTTGAGGGGGGGGGGGGTGGGGGGGGGGGGGGGGTTGTGCAGTGCAAGTTGGTGGTAGATTGTTTAATTAATTAATTAATTTAAAGGGTGTCTTTCTATGATACCCAACAAATTGACAACTTGGAACAAATTTTAAATTAATCAAGTGAAGGGTTATGGCAATAGTTAAAAATAAATAAATAAATATATATATATATATGTCTGTGGCAATCAAATCATATGATATGTTTCTTGGAATATAACTATATGGTAGTATATAATAATAGCAATAATTTTTAATTACCATAATGAATAATAGTACTTGAGTAAATTTATTGTAGAAAGTGATGAAAAATAAACAATAATAAATCCATTCTGAATAATAATAATGATAATAATAAAGTTTAAAAAATGAATATTTGAAAATAGTTTTAATTGGGCAATAAAAAAAAAATGTTACATAATTTCCTATTAAAGAATTTTATATTTTAACTATAACCTAGTCCATGCAATTGAAGGTGATTTTTAAAGTTTAAAAAAATGAAATTGAAAATAGTAAAATTTAAAAATTAAGTATTTGTGATGTTTAGTAAAAATAAATAAGAATATGATTATTATTATTATTTTTTTTTTTAAAAAAAAAGTTACAATTAATGAATAGTATTCAAAAGTATGTGTATATACACAAACATTTATTAAATATTGAATTAAACACATTTATTCATTGGTTCGATTAGATATATTCATCGGTAAGCAATGATTTGCAAGTTCGTATTAAATAAATAAATTTAATTAAATAAGTTCACATAGTGTATATATATATATATATAGGAGTATAATTTTTAGTCAATGAATAATTACTTAATTTCGATCAATGCAAAAAAATAAAAATAAAGTTGAAATATTAAAAATAATTACAAATGAAATGAAAAATAATAATATTTGGCAAAGAGTCGAATAATATGTGATAAAATTCTTTTTTCTAAAATAAAAAATAAAAAAAAAATAGTTGTTTCTGGCACATATATACGTACATGTATCTCTTCAACACTTGCTTTTCATGCTGAAAATATTTTATTGGTATATATAATATATTATATAGTAATACAAAAATAAAATTAGGGATAAATTATTATTTTTTTAATCATAACATAACACCATTTATTATTTTGATTCTCCAACCGAAATTGCTACAGAAATAATCTTATATCTAATTAATTCACATGATGTTTACTATAGAATCTTTTCAGCGACTATATATTAAATATAAAATTATTATTTGTGTAGTAACTTTATATAAATGAACAAAATAATAAAATATGAACATATGAGACTAAATTAAAATACATTTATTCTATAAAAATAAAAATAAAAATAATAGCTAGAATAGATAAAAATACATTTATATATATTCTATACATATATATATATATATATTTAGGGTTGTGTTGTGTTTGTGGACTGGAGACATTCACATGCATGCACGTTCCGTATATATCTTATAATAATAATAATAATTATTATTATTATTGTCGCGAGGACCGCGTTCCAATCTCTCTCTCTCTCTAAAAGATTTGGAAAATATTGAAATCATTGGTAAATTTATTTAAAAAGTTTAATTAATTTGCATATATATAAATATATATGTGAATATTTGTGACCAAGAATTTTAATTATGGAGTGTTTGATATTTTATGTTTGGATTTAGGTATGAGGGTTGTGATAATATATAATAAATATTTGAGTTAAAATAAATATATATTTTAATATGATATAAATAAATCTTAAAAGCAATGATTTGAATAATTTTTTTAAAAAAACATTGATTGATTTTTATTCTTTCATTTTTACTTGTTTGTCTAAGTTTTTTTTTTCCCCTAAAAAGTCACACCAAGTCTTTATTTTGTATATTATGCAATTGTCATCAAATAATATTATATTAAATGTCTTAAAAAACACAAAAAAAAAAAACATCCCAAAATACCGTCAAACAAAATTTTATTTTTTATTTTGAAGAATTGCTTGAATGTGATAATTTATAAGAAAAAAAATAAATTATTATATTAGAAAATCACGATTATTACATTACTAAAATAAATAAATAAAACACATATGTATGTATATCCACAAGTGTGTATATATATATATGTTAAGGATATGGATGAGGTTACAAGTTACATGACATGAGGGCCCAAATCCAATTACAAAGGGAACACAATTCACATCAAATCTACAATAAACCAACATGTCATGCAATTTAATTGATTGAATCTAGACACAGACACACACAATATATATATATATAATTTTTAAATTTTAATTTCAATTTCTAAAATACAAGGAAATCTTGTCAAATTTTTTTTAAAAAATAAAAAATAAAAAATTGCTATCTGCAAATAATTATGGGAGTGTGCCAAAATTAACCCAAACATAGAGGAAGAGGGACAAGGGTAAAAAGGGAAATTCATGCTTATTTAGGGCAAAGATAGCTGATGGATTAAAAGTGGACTGGAGGATAAACTTTTTCTTTTTTTTCTATTTATATATTTATTATTATTATTATTATTTAAGTAAGAAATTGGTTGGTTTGTTGTTTTTTGTCGGCCCATTTATTTGTTTGTTTCTTTTTCGGTCTGTAACTATGAATTTGGTGGGTCTGGTTTAAATTGCAATAATGGAATTATTTGGGGCAAGGATTGGAGCAAACAAAATATTATTAGACGAAAATGCAAAGTAGTTCCATTACCAAAAAAAATAAAAAATTGGGAGATTTGAATTAGTGATATTCAAAAATTACACATTTTCAACGAATGAGTACATTTACTGTATTTGTTCATTTAAAAATAATACTACTCCTTCCGTCCCATGTAATATGGGTATATATTCTTGTAAACACGAGAATTTAGATAAAGTATATTTAGTAAGTAATTAAATAGTTTATTAGTAATAATAATTATTATTTAGTAAAAATAATTATAGATTAAAATGAAGATAAGTAAATAGTTTAATTAAAATTAAGAAAATTATAAAATTTAAAATTTAAGATGCAAGTTATGTGGGACGGACGAAAATATAAAATAGAAAATATGGACAAATTATGTTGGACGGAGAGAGTAATATTTTATATTTGATAGATATAAATATAAGTATGTAAAGACTCAAATAGCCTTAGGTTTTATTCCCTCCGTCCCACCTAATTTGTTCATATTTTCTATTTTCGCCAGTCCCACGTAACTTGTCATTTCTATTTTTGGAAATATAATTATGCACTTTAATCGCATTTTAAATTTTTAATTTTATAATTTTCTTAATTTTAATTAAACTATTTACTTATCTTAATCTTAATCTATAATTATTTTTACTAAATAATAATTATTTTTACTAATACATTTTTTAATTACTTATTAATTATACTTTATCTAAATTCACGTGTCTACAGTAATTCACCCATATTATATATGACGGAGGGAGTAATATTCCACATTTAATAAATAATGTGTATTAAAATGAGTATTTGGAGTAATATTTTTATACAAATAACTGGATATTTTATTAATATTGTGAGATATACACTTGTTAAATAAAAAATCATTTACTATTTGTAAAATAGTCCGAGTATTAGTAGATAATTTAAGATTAACTTGATAATTTTGAAAGTACAATATTCAAAATAATAATAATAAAAAAAAATGGTACATGTAACTATCTTTGCCTTTGTTTGAGTAATAAAGCTAGTTGGGCCTAATGTGACTAGGCCCAATTTCTAGCATTTTTAATTAAGCCCAAACTGTTAATGATATTAAGCCCACACAAATCACAATATCATTCATTTATACCATTTACTTATGTTTTAAAATTTAAACTTATAAATAAAAAATATCTTTTAGCTTCCAAATATTCACGTTTTTTCTTATAAATATATACTTCATGAATATTAAAATTTTAATGAATTATTTAATCGAATATTTTTAAAATAAGAGAAAAATACTTAATAGAATGTGTATTTGTTTAATATTTATATTTTAGATTTTTTAGTTGTTAAGTGGAGTATAAAATTATTAAATATGATACTTAGTTAATTTTTATATACTTATATAAGTATTATCCTGTGTACTTTATATAATTATAAAAGTATACTTGTAATTTTTTCAAATTAATAATATTTTAGTATTAATGTATAATTATTTTTATTATAATATAAGAAAACAATATAAAAAATAATAAAAATAATATTTTCAATTGGCACAAAAAGAATATCAAATTAAATTATTATTATTATTATTTCGTTTAAAAGAATATTGAAAGCAAAATTACAAAATGAAAGAGTAAAACATAAAAGAACACACCCCAAATTTAACTAATTTGAAAATAAAATAAAATAAAATAATAATTATTATACATGTGGTGGGTGGAGGATAGGTGGTTGCTTTAATATAAAACAGCTGTGAAGTGAATGATCGGAAGAGGAATTGATGATTGATCAAATTCTTCTTCACTCATGATAATGACAAATTAAGAATCCTTACTGGTAATATTTAAAGCAGAAAAGGCTATGATCAATAATTTAATCAAGCTTGCTTATGATAGATTATAATCTCACCACAAAAAGCAAATCCAGTAATAAACAATGGATCCGATATAAGTTAATCATGTTCACGTGCATTGCATTACATACACACTGATGTTCTAAACCCCAATTTATCCCCAATTTAGCCACATGCCTTCAAAAACTCATCACAGAATGGAAAACAGATTATTCAATTAACCAACAATGATTCAGCACCGACAAACAACACCGCATGAAAAATGGAATGAAATATTGTCAAATGAAAGCACTAACGTCCCCATCGCCAGACAGATCTGACGTTTTCCCGCCACAAAATTCACAAATAACGAAGAACACGCAAAACGAGCACCGAAAAATAATTTAAAAGGCGAATTCAATAAAATAAAACCGTACATTCATCGGCGGCAGCGAGTGATGGCGGAGCAGCCTCGATAGTAGGGGCGGACAGGACCTCTAGCTCGGTAGCAGTTGTGCGTGTAGTACGACCTGCCGGAGCGCGGCGGACAGGGGATTCTGTTCGCCGCAAGCGCGCCGTACGAAATGTAATAGCGGAAAACTCTCTTCCAGAAGAGCGATCGCCGATTCGGCGGAGAATCGGTAAAATCAGCAATTATTTCTTCATCTCCGAAACCTTCTCCTAGCTCCTCATCCTCCTCCTCATAGAACGCCGCTCCTGTTTCCCATTCATCAAACAAACCTTTACCAATCGAAACAGCAGATCCGTCGGCTTCGGCGGCGGAGGCGGAGGCCACAGCGACGGCGAGATGGAGGAGAGAAAGCAACAAGAGAAGGACCACTTTGGGAGAGTCCATGGAGTCGGAGAAGAGAGCAAATGCAAAATGAACTTTAGCTGATTAATTTTACAATTTTTTATTTTTCATTTTTGCAAAAAAGGTCATTAAATTTGAGAAATTACAAAATAAAAAATAAAAAAATAAATTATGCAGTGTCAGTGTGTGATTGGATGACAGCTGTCTGTATCATTGTATTGAATACTTTTTGTGGGCCCATATTCTACCACCGCCGTGCCGATCAATAATACGATCCAACGGCTGGGATTTAACGTCGGCAATACAGTGAATTAGATTATGGGCCCTTATTGGGCTCTGCGTTGCACTTATTTGGGCTATATGAGAAACTCAGTTTAATGCATGGGCCAATCTAACAAAAGCCCTGTTTCGGACAGGTGGACAAATCAACGGACAGGATTGAGCGGATCAAGTACTTCAATTATTAATTTTTCACTTTATTACTCCATAGTAAATACACCCTGACTAAAGGACTGTGAACAAAATTGAAAGAGTGTTGCAGTGAAATTAATTAATGCACCCAATTAAAAATATTTTAATTTTACATTTTATTGGAAGACATAATTATATGGTTATGATAAATTTTTGACATTTTTTACTAGTACTATTTATTTGATGTACTTTTATAAATTATTTTTAAAATAATAATAAAAATTACATAAAAGTTTAAGATATCCTAAATTAAAAATCCCACAAGTAATATAATTTTTTTTTGAAATGCATACGCTAATATAAATATAAGATGGACTGAGAATACAGACGGATCCTTAAATGTGTTTATTATGGATGTGATTAAATTATTAAAATTTTATATACAAGGTAATATATTTACTTCATATTAAAAATAGATGCTCGGTTTACTTCTTCTATTATTATTTGATATTTAAAAGATAATATTTTTTATTAAAGATATTCATTTAGATAAAAAATAAAAAATTAAAAGTAATACTCCCTCCGTCCTAATATAATCTTGTTTATCATTTTTATCTGTTCCAAAAATAATAGTCTTATTTTTATAAATAATCATATCACTATAAAATTATATTTACTTTTTCATTATTATTATACAGTTGTGATAAAAAAGTTTTTTACCCGTATTTTTTAGCCACTACCAATATAATATTAATATTTCTTAATTCTCATGTCAAATACAACACAAACTATAATTTTGGGACGGAGGGAGTATTATACTTTTAAAAATATATAAAAAAGAATAAAAATACAAATATATATGAAGAACGCATTTTCTTGATATTGCAGCATGGATTTTAGGTGTAAGAATTGTTAAAAAATTGAATTGAAATGATATTTAATTTACTATAAATATTTATTTAATGTAATGTTTTGAATAATTTTTTTTATGTATACATTAAATATATATATACATATATTAATAATGCTATTTGAGTCCAATTTGCCGTAAAAATGTATTCATTTGGTCAAATTTGATTTTATTTTTTTTACTTCAGCTAAATTTATTTTATTGTTAATTTTTAAAAATAATGATAAAAAAGTAACATTTAACTATTATCATCAATTTAACATATATTTACCATCAATGTTATTACTTTTATTACATTTTTTTTCTCTCTCTTATTTTATTTTATTTTATTTTATTTTATGTGAATTACTAATTAAATTTTAAATAATACATCAAAATCTATTTTTAGTTTTATCACTTTTTTCATAAGAATATATATATTTTTTAAATCTTCATGCTCGAGCAAAATGTGTTAATTTTAATAGTCTGAAGAATGACTTTATTTTTTTAATGTAGATATCTTAATATCAATATTATATTGATATATAGTACAAATCAATAAAAAAAATATATAGATATATTTATATTAGTATTTTATACTTCGTCCATCCTAATATAATAGTCTTGTTTACCATTTTTGTCCGTCTCAAAACAATAGTCTTATTTTCATAAATAACCATATTACTATAAAATTACAATTACTTTTTTATTATTATTACACAATTGTCACTCCTTATTACATTAATACACTCACAAGTGCAAAAAAATCTTTTACATGTACTTTTTACCCACTACCAATATAATATCAATTCTTTAAATCTCATACAAAACACAATCCAGACTATAGTTTTAGGACGAAAGAAGTAATATAAAAGAAATGATATTTATATAATAAATTATAAATTGTAAAAATATTTATTATATTAAGTAGTAGTGCATTTATTAAATAGAAAACATCATACTTATTTCGATGCATATAGAAATAAAAAATGACATTTTTTTGATATAAAGAGTATTTAAATTATTCAAAAAATTTCCTCCATTATCAAAATGTGTTCATTCCCTCTGTAGCGAGTACACAAAGAGTGTGTTTGTTTGGGGCAGGATTTTGGATTTGGATTTGAAGTTGAATAATAAAAAATTTAAATTTAAATAATTGTAAATAAATATTTATATAAAATTTTAAATATAAAATTAATTTTTAGTATATTACAAGATGAAAAATTAATTTTTAGTATATTACAAAATATGAAAAATAAATATTTAATTTAATATTTACAAAATAATAATAATAACAATAATAAATAGTATTTCCTCCGTTGTTCAAATCTATATATTTTTTTTTTGTTGTCATAAAAAACTATTATTGTTTCCTTTTTTAGGTAAAAAAATTATTAATTTTTTTTTAATTTTTTTATTATAAAAAAAGTAATAATTATTACTCATTTTTATTAATTCTCGTGTCCGTCAAAATACAAATTTGTGGTAAAATTTTTGTAAAATTTAATAAAATAACACACCAAAGTGTAATGAAAGGAGGGAGGAATGGAAGCAGAAGTGTTGATTGCATTGCATGCAGCGAACACGTGAAAGCGACTGATTACTAGTCTGACATGACAAATATACATATATATATATAGCTCAATTTTAGGATAGCTAGGATTTGTTTGTTTGTATTTTAATTTGAAGAGGTGTGTTTTTTTTTTCAAAAATATATATTATATATATGAAATTATATAGTAAATATAAATTGTGTGTTTCTTTTGATGAATTTAGAAAAAAATTAATTTGAATTTGGTATGAAAATAATATTTAATGAGATATCTTATGAAAAAAAAAGAATATATCTTTTTAGGAAATGCAGAGTCTAAATAGTAAAGTTTGATAGGTACACTCCGTTTGTTATCTTATTTATTTATTTAATGCTAGTAATTGTTTAATTAAATAAAGTAGACTCAGTTTGTTTTTATATATTATCTTGTTTATTTATTGCATTGAATAACACAACCCATAAGTATTAATTAATTAATTATCTGATAAATAATCCCCCCTAGATTTGATTTGGAGTGGTTGCCCATTTTCATTATTACTATTTTGGGGTCTCCCAATTATATTATTATTGCCGCACTCGCACTGCACTGCTACTCTTTTTCGGACATGCCTCCTCCCCTCCAACCAAGCACCTTTTTATTACTACACTTTTAATATATATTAATAATTTTTTAGAAATAATATATTACTATTATACATAGATTACTACTTATTAGATGTCGTCGACTCATTGTAATGGCTTTTCTTTTTTTTCTTTTTTTCAAATTATTCATAAAAAGAAAAATAAAAAAAATTGTACATTTATATTATATTAATATAAATTTTATATTATTTATTTATGTTTTACCCATTATATGTCAATGTTTAAAGTATTATTAGCATCGTACCAATTAAAATTTTATACTATTTATGTCCCATAATTAAATATTCATTTGTTTTTTCACGTAATTTTAGGAATAAAATAAAAATGACTAAAATAATCTTACTAGTATATAAAATACAAAGGTAATGACATTTGTGTAATATATTGTAAATTGTAGAGGTATTTGTAATGTTAGGTAGATAGTACAATGACTAAAATGGAAAAATGGATACTTCGTTATGGGACGGAGGAAGTATTTATTTCATAAAATATTATACTATTTTCGTTTCAATTTAAAATATTATTTTTACAATTTTAGTTCTGTCTCACTCTTAAGTATTTTTTTTTTTTTAGTAAAAGTAATTCTTACACATACAATTATTGTTTACATAAAATTAAAGGATAAAAATATCAAAACTTCTTACACATTTCTACTAATTAATAAAATATTATTATTTCTTAATTTATTACAAAATACCGAATGACCATTTGGATTGAGGAAGTATTTAAGTTACTACTCCGTCCGACTAATAAGAAAGATACCATTTTTTTTTGTTCGTCCCAAAACAAGGGTATCATTAACTAATTTAGTAACTGTACTGCCTACCTAACATAATAAATACTCTTACAACTTATAATATATTACACAAATATCATCACTTTTATAACACTCCATAGTAATAGAGACATTTTCATTTTTTTTTACTACAAATTAATATAATACTACCATTTAAAAATATACGTGCAAATAGGAAATGATACTCTTGATGTAACATTTTGAATTTGAATAGTTGTATGATGTGATATAAATAAATGTTGATGTAACATTTTGAATGTATTGATTTTTAGTATATAAAAAAATAAAAAATAAATATTTGATTTGATATTTTTAAAAAAATAAAATAAAAATAAGATAAATAATATATTTAAAATTCAATTTCTCAAACAAACACACCCAGTGTGGCTATTTATTATAATAGAATTATTGTCTTGAAAGTAAAATTAATAAATGAGGACTATTGCACCAAAATAGGATGAACAGTGTATTTAAATTAATATTTATTGCACACAATACATTGCACCAAATTGGAAAAAAGGGAATGCTCTTCCGGGCATTACTTGAAGTCTCAGTCTTTGATTTTTACTTCTGACAAGTTTCATGTGCATTGGAGCATACTGTACATTCATGAATCTATATTATTAAATAATATCTTTATATTAAAAATTTTTAATAATAATAATAAATCAAAATCGCTACATCCCCAAAACACGATTATTAATTCCTCCAGTTCTCTCCAGTTCCTTCTTCACCTTTCCCTCTACGTTCTCCGGCGCCGTTCTTCGCACTTCTTCTCCATCATCTCCCCAAAATCATGGATTTCAATCTCCTCGATTCTTCCATCCGCCACAAATTCGCACCGGAGAAGACGATCGTCGAAAAGTTCCATCAATTTTCCGACGAATTCTATCCGGAAAGTTCGGAATCGTCGGAATTCGAGCTCCGGTGCGGAAATCTAACCGCTCCGCCGGCGGCGCCTTATCCGGTGGAATCGAAGTTCTATCTATTCGCGCAGAATGCAGAAACTAATTTCGGCGATTTTCCGGCGGCCGGAGCGATTCTGTCGCCGCAGCGGCGAGATTCGATGGAGGCGATGAGAGAGACGATTTTCCGGATGGCGATGATGCAGCCGATCCAGATCGATCCGGAGACGGTGAAGCCGCCGGCGAGGAAGAATGTGAGGATCTCGAAGGATCCGCAGAGCGTGGCGGCGCGGCACCGGCGGGAGCGGATAAGCCACCGGATTAGGATCCTGCAGAGAATGGTCCCCGGCGGTACGAAATTGGACACGGCGTCGATGCTCGATGAGGCCGTGCATTACTTGAAGTTTCTGAAGAGGCAAATTCAGTCGTTGGAACGCGCCGCCGCCGCCGGTAATTTGGCCGCCGCCGTGTTGCCGGCGGTGGGATCTGTCAACGGTTCTCTTAGATTTAATTAACTACTTTTTATATATACATATTATATTATATTTTTTCTTTTGAAAGGAAAAAAATAATAATAAAAAATATTAGTATTATATATATAGTATATATATTTATTGGGAAAATTATGTGCGCGTGTTTTTTTTTTTAAATTCTTTTCGTGGGCATTTAAAATTTTTGCGAATTTCTGTTTGTTTCGTTTTATGGCTTCAAAATAATTGAGAATAGAAATAGAACTACGGCAATTTGAAATTTATGTTTTTGTGTGTGTTTTTTTTACGTAATAATTTGTTTATAGTGTCTTCTTTCATTTTTTAAATAAAAAAATTAAATATCATATTTCATACTTAGGGCGACAAGACATAAATAAACAGCATCATTGGGCATGCATTATAAACATGTCATTTTATGTAATTTAGGATTTGTTCTTTAGGAAAATTTTATTAAAATTGTCATGATTTTCAAACACGAAGATAAAAATGTAATTTTATCATGTAATTAACTCTAAAATTATTATTAGGTATTGAACGATAAGCTGAAGCCTCAAGGTCCATCTCCTACGCATAATTCACCTAGTGTGATTCATTTTATCAAATCTAGTTTGCAAGGTATTAAATTTGGCTGGAGATTTACCCAGATCAACGCACTCGGCAAGTAACAATTGTATATTCTCACGTTATAAAAAATAAAAAAAATAAATGCATAAACTTCCGAAGTCTTCGAATCTTGTCAGTCACATATAATTCATCTAGTGTAACTAATTTTTCCGAGCTTAATTTATAAACTATTAGATTTGATTAAAAATTTACCAAAAACGTATTAAAAAAATAATGGTTGTTGGTTCTCATATATATATATTTTTAAAAAAAATTCTCAAATAGAGGATGTTTTACAAATTAGAGGATCGAACTTGTGATCATGATATAAATTTGCAGCTACAAATTTTCATATTATTAAACTAAAAGTACAAATTGACAATTTGAATAAAATATTTTCAAAATAAAAGATAATAATACAACTAAAACATACATAATCCCACTAGTATTTCACTTAACAACAAATCAAATTTTACAAATAGTAAACAAATAAATAAATTAATAAAATTAATAAAGAACTATAAATATATAAACAATGAGAAATGAAAAGTGCGTTATCTACGTCCAAACACAGCCTTACGGATCAAATCTCCCATGATTCCATCGCTTTCGGTTTCATTCTATTGCAAAAAATTAACTAAACAAAGAATCATAATATTCTTTTCCAATTAGCCGACATTCCTTTAAATTACGAGGGCCAAATGATACTTAGGGTATGACTGTTTGGGGTTTGGATTTTGAGTTGAGATTTGAATAGTAAATATTTTGAATTTGAATAGTTGTATGATGTGATATAAATAGGTGTTGACGTGATATTTTGAATGTAAAATTAATTTTTAGTATAATATATAAAAATAAAAAATAAGTGTTTGATTTGATATAATGAACACGGGTTTTTCTCGTTTCATATGTGTCTTTGCCCCATCACTTATATTTTTATTTCTAAATACATACTCCTATAATTTTTGCAACAATATACCGTTCCTAAGATCCTTAATTAAATATTCATTTATTTATAATTTTGCAAATATACAGTTCATAAGATCCTTAATTAAGTATTCATCTATTTGTTAGGTTAATAATATTTAAATATTAATTATTATATTAAAATATATTAAAAATCAAAGAAAATAGCAAAAATATTCTATTAATTTTTTTTATAATACTAATATAATAATATTTGTATAAAAAAATTATACAAATATAAGATATTTTTAATATTCAATACAATGATGCAAATAATAAATGAATATTTTGTTATGGGACAAATGAAGTATAAATTTTATTTTTTATTCAAAATATCATATTAGTAATAAAAATAATAGTACTATATACTTCCTCATTTCGGCTCTAAATTTTTTTTAGATATATCCTTCTATTAGTATTATGAGATACTAATATGAGCATTTTTACAATTTTTATTTAATTTATATTATTTATTTTGATATAATAATTAATATATTATTCAAATATCAACGAATGAAAAGTAAATAAGAATGTTAAGAGCTGGACGAAGTACTATCTATTTTGAGCTGAGCATTGTACAAAGGAATTATTAATACACGAGAAGATTAAGGTTTTTCCTTAATTAATTATCTAAATAGAAGTTGTTCATGTCCGTGATCGGGTCGCCGCTTCAGAACCCTCTTCGCCGTTGCTCTAATCGGGCAGTTGGAACTCACGAAACTCTCCACCAAATGCAGATACGTCTTCAGATCATGACACGTGGCCACGTTCCCCTTCCGGAGATCCGGGCAGGTCCTGCTGCTCACCCTCAGCTCCTCCCCGACGTCCGCGTACACCCACTGCGTCTTCTCCACGCGCCTCTGCACCCAATTCGACACTCTCCCTTCGCTCGCCACGTGTCCACTCTCCTCCTCCTCCTCCTCGTCGATCACGAACCCCGGGACCTTCGTGACCGGATCCTCGGAGTTCACGATCCTAAGGACCTTGGTCCCGGCCCTGTCCAGCTGGCGCCGGAAGCTTCTGTTCCCGACACGTGGCCCGCCGAAGGAGAATACCGTCACCAGCGGCGCGTCCTTAAACGACGTCGTAATGTCGTGCGCCGTCAGAATCGCTAATGCGGCGCCGAGGCTGTGGCCGGTGACCGTTATGCTCAACGGCTCGTCGGTGTACTCTTCGAGAATCTTCCTAACCTCGTACCTAATCGAATCGCGCAGGCTCGGCTGGCTCCCGTCGTCGGGGCGCGACGTGTAAAGGCTCAAAAACCCCTTCTCAACCATAACGGCGGCGCAATTCTCTCCCTCCGGCGGCAGATGGGTTAGCCTGGCTCGAAGATTCTCGATCCACTCCATACACGTGGCGGTCCCTCTGTACGCGATCACGACGTCGCGGCGGCCGAGCCGCCGGATTTCCTCGGCGTCGCTGCACACGGCGGCGTACCCAACCCAAGCCGACCGCGTCGACGCCCAGGCGGGCAGCCTGCCCGCGGCCCATGCGGGCAGCCCGAGCCCGCACGTGGCGTGCAGGCTTTTGGTGACTGTGTAGCCCATATTCTCCCGGAGGGCGTGGTCGGCGATCATGGAGCAGTTGGGATAGCGACACGTGGCGTATCCGGGTGATGATGTGTCGCGATCGTAGCAGCGATACGTGGCTTCGACGAACTCTCCGTACCGTAGGATTTCCCGGCGCAGGTCGTCGTGGAGAGGATCAAGAAGACCTTCCCAGTTCTTGATTCCCTGGAATTCCATCCATCGATTCTTCACACCACATTCACATTCAGATTTAATCATTTCTCCAAAATTTCTGATCTTCAATCTGAAATTCCTCTTCCTCCTCGTACCAATGATTAATTTCCACGGAGAATCCCACGAATTGCAGACCCTGGTTGACCCCTGCAATAAATGGGCTGACCTTAAAGTCCCCGAAAACTTCATGTACTGGATTATTGTAGCTGGCGTTTGATTAATGAAATTAAGCTCGACGTCGTGCCTTACAGAGACTGAAGAATTTATAACATCATGGTTGGGGGGTGGGAGGGGGAGGGGGGGTGGCGGCTTCGTCTTAATCTTGCCCAAAAATGTAACTTTTTTTATTTTTCCAATTAAAATAGTGAGTGAGGAATGTTCTTGGATTTGTTTGAATCGAATCCACGAAGAAAAAAAAAAATTTATTGTGGTATGCGATAACTAGCTAGAGCCTAGAGGTATTCCTTTCGATCCTTATAGATATATAGATTATGTATGTATGTATGTATTGGTGGATCCCCACCGACCAAACAAAATTATATATGTATATATATGACGTGGAGATTCAAAAGCTGCTAGTTGAATATTAGATTCGGCTGGGGTTTATTAAGTGGGGCAGCGACTGTGAGTTCTTACGTAAAAAATAAAATAAAATAAAATAAAAAAGAAAAAAAAATTATATTAATTCGGATTTAAAAAAAAAATAAATTGTATATTAATTTCTAAATTGAAGGCTTTGATTACCTATACAATATTTTATTTGTCCCAAACTCATTAGCAGTAATTAAACAATTGGGTCGCAGCTATCCATATGAATTTATTTATCATTAGCCGAAATCCAAAAACAATACAACTCACTGTCAACCCGTGTTTCAAAATACTATTTCCTATAGTAAATATTTTTAAATTATCATATTATATATATATATATATTACTAATGATGATATTAAATATTTAATTATTTAATATAGTCATTCAAAAGAAAATAAAACTGTAAAAACTTTTGTTTAATATTAGTTCACCAAACTATAACCAAATAGTGGTAACATCCTCTCTTAGGGGGACTTGAGATCCAGGTTCGAACTTGATCGAAGAATTATGCATCCATTAATATATATATATATATATATATTAGTTCAAATTAAATAGGTAATATTATTCTCTCCATTCGATATAAATTTATTTAATTTGTTCATTAAATTTATGTATGATTTATTTATAAAAATAATGTTATTTACTTATAATTATGTGGTGACGGAAGGAGTCGAAGACCAAGAAATGAATTATATTTTAATAAATAATAATTATTTTTCACTTTTTTTTTTCTGGTTATTATATAATATTTTTATCAATTCTATAATAATATTTATTTAGTACCTTCAACATTATTTAATTTTTATATATTTTATTTTATATTAAAATATTATTATATTTTTATTTTTGTGTTCCAATAAGCACTGGTACTGAGAAAGGAAATATGTAATAATTGAGGGTATATTTCTTTTTTTTTTTTTTTATGTAATTTGAAATTTTTTTATTTAAATTTGATGTTACAATAATATACAATAAAATGTTTGGTAAAAATATATATATATATATTTTCAAAAACACGTAAAGTTTAAATAATAAAAAATTAATTATAAATTATAGAAATAAACCCTTAGTATATAGATTTATTTGTGGGAAAGAACGCACTAAAGTGAGAGTTTGTTCTTTACTGTTTACATCATTATTTATTATTATATTTAAATACATATCTAAATTTTCACTATTTTTTACTTACATTATTATATTTTTATTTAAAATTTTAGTAATATCTTATGTTAAATTTTACGTACTTTCTTTTATATTATAATACTGCTATTATTTTTAAAATTTCATATTTCGACAAAATAGCATAAAAATGGGGCGCAAATAATGAACACTATATATATATAGTAATATCTATATTTATTCATTCCATTTTTATCACGAAATGATTAATTAAGCGTGGGTGGTAGATAAATTTATATCACCGTACAGGTCATAGGCTCTACTTGACTAACGTCTTTTAAGTTTTTGAAGTATTTCTAATTTGTAAAATTAATTAAAAATCAACAATATAAAATATTATATTTATATTACCGATACAATATTTTATATCTAATATATATATATAAAAATTATTCAAAAAATACAAATTAAGCAAACCGCAAGTAACGATTTAATACTATATTTAATTAGATACAGTTAACCAATCCATTGTAGGGGTTGGACTTATGACCGTGAGGTCATGGATTCTAATCCCCGACGTCTCAGATCACCACCTGTGATTTTCCTGTCGAATTTGGTTTGCAGAGTATTAGATTCGGCTGAAAATTTATCAAGTGTGTACTTTCGAGTAGCAGTTGCGGGTTTCCACGTCATCCAAAATATATATATATATATATATTATGATGTAACAATAATTTGGGTCTAAAAAGATAGCTATAGATTTAGTTCATTTTGAAAAGTGAAAAGTAGATTGATTGCGTACACATAATATAACATTACTGTTAGAGTCTCGATAAAGCTTTATAAATATTGACAACACCTATAATTACATAAAATATGTATCATGATTGATCTCGTTATAAAATTAAGTATTAATATTATATAAATACTAGTAGTATAATTAATAATAGTTTATACAATATTTTGATATATATCATAGATTAATACAATACAATATATAATATATTCGACCCCCTAATTTTACAGATAATTATATTTGGCCAAATTAAATTATATTCAAAGTATATATATATAACAATATAAAAGCTTATTATTATTATTATTATTATTATTATTATATTGTGTGTCACGTTAGAACAAGAAATGTAACCATGATGACAACCTAGTTAGAGTGCTTATCTGCTAATTAAGTCATCATAGACAACTGTAAACTAAAGTGCATTAAAAAATAATAATAATAATAAATGAGTAAATAAATACAAGGAAATTAATAAAGCAGATTTGATTTGTGGAATGAATTTGTTCTTTTGAACTTTAATTTTTTCTTTTTTTTTTCTTTTTTTTTTTACTATACATCAATTTTATTTATTTATTTTTTGTAATTTTATTATTATTATTATATATATATTTTTTAATTTTTTCCAAATTATGTCATGCATCATTAAAATTACTATTAATTTTTCCTTTTTGTTGATGTTTATACAAGAGGGTTCCCTTTTATATTTTTAATAAAAGTTGTTCACTATAGATTTTTAAAGTGCATGTTATTACTCATCTACCTACAAAAATTTGTGTTCACGAATATGAGGCGTGTGTGTATATATATATATTTATGACAGATTAAGTAAGATGCATTTTATGATATCCCGTCAATTATTTGCATTGTAAATAACAAGTTGGGATGAGAAAAAAAGTTTCGATTATGCGAATAGGTTTGACGATGACTTACGAGAAAAGGTCGAGTTTGAATTCGTGATCGTGTTCATGTTTGCATACAAAGTTTGGTAATAAAGTGTAGATTGCTATTGCACTATTCTTTTTAGAACACTTTTTGGAGATTCATTTCATCCATCAAAAGGGAGTTTGGCACATAAATTTTTTCTATTGCAATACTCTTGTTTTATTTATTTATTTATTATATAAAATAATTATTTAATACTATAACTTTGTAGAGAAAATTAAAAGATTGCAAATAAAAAGGACATAATAGAATTTTATTTTTATTTTTTTTAAAAAAAACAACGACAAACAAACAAACACTTGGCTCTGTCTACATACAATGTTTTAAAAGTTTCCGAATTATTACTACCTCCATCCTAGGAGAAGAGTAATGTTTACTTTTTTCACGTAAATTTTTTAATATTAGTATTATATTAGTTTACAGTGAAAAAGACAAAAAGACCCATATTAGACTGTGTGATCATTTGTGTAATATATTAAAAATTGTAAGGGTATTAATTATGTTAGGTGGTTAGAACAATTACTAAATAAGGAAATGATATCCTTGTTAGTATTTGTTGAAACGTGACTTGGATTTAGCGGTCTACCCGACCCTAAACTAAAGCGAAAGGGCTGTTTCAATTGGCAGGGTTCCTTTTGGGCTTATCCTAATAGATAACAAATAGGCTTACGGTTTAGGGTGTTTTGGGGTGCTTATAAATAGACAACTATGGTTCTTAGTCGGAATACACATTGTAAATCTCTGAATCAGTATAATAAAATCTCTCCGGTTCCTGCCCGTGGACGTAGGTTGACACACCGTCACCGAACCACGTAAAACCTCTGTGTTCTTTATTTGCTTTCTTTCTCGTTTTCTCATAACAAGTGGTATCAGAGCCATATCCCATTGATTGAAAATGTCCTCGTATAAATTTGATCTGGAGAAGTTTAATGGGTCGAATGACTTCACGCTCTGGAAGGTCAAGATGAGGGCACTTCTGGTTCAACAAGGATGTGCGGCTGCGTTGGAGGGAGAAGACAAGTTTCCTAAAGACACGAAGGAGGAGGTAAATAAGGAGATTTTGGCAAGGGCTCATTCCGCGATCTTGCTGTCAGTTACTGATGAGGTGTTACGGGAGGTTGTAGATCAGACAACGGCTTTTGGGTTATGGAATAAACTGTGTGAGAAGTACCAAAACAACTCCCTCACGAACAGGCTATATCAGAAGCAACGTCTTTACACCCTCCGGATGTCCGAAAGTACTCAGGTAAAGGATCATCTTGATACCTTTAACCGTATCATTCTTGATCTTTAAGGAGTTGAGGTTAAAGTAGATGATGAAGACCAAGTCCTAATTTTATTGTGTTCACTACCTGGTTCATATGAGAATTTTGTAGATACTATGCTATATGGTAGAACTACAATTTCTGTTAATGATGTGAAAGATGCCCTTATGTCCAAAGAATTGAAAAGAAAGGTTTCTCTGGAAGAGGGTTCTGGTTCAGGTCTGTTTGCAGGTAGGGGAAGACCACATGAGAGGGGTAACGGGAATGGGAGGTCGCGTTCAAAATCAAAATC